TCAGCGACTCAGACGGCGTCAGCTACCCCTGGTATGGCAACACCACCGAGACAGTCACCCTGACCGGACCCACATCCAAACCGTCCCGTCTGACGGTCAGCATGAACGACAACTTCTACCCCAGCGTGACCTGGGCAGTGCCCATCAGCAACAGCAACACGCCCATGCTGACCCACATCACCCGGGACCAGAGCTTCATCACCTGGCTGGTGGCGATGAACTCCGTCACCAAGGTAGGACAAAAACACAGCCTGGTATTGGAGATGAAAAAGTGTGTTCCCACTTGCACCATGTCTTAATAATATTGTGTTGTTCTTCCAGTGTTGTCACAGTTATATGTTTTGCCCGCTTTAAACACTGGCTATACATCTTTAGAGACTGCTCTTGCATTACACACACAGACTGACTGTGATGTAATCATCCCCCCCCCTGCACTTTTCCTTTGTGGTGTAAAGTTACAAAGTACATCATCATTGCCTTCAACTCTGCTGAACGAAGCCCCTGCAACGGCCCATCAGGAGTTAGTCTAGCTTGAAATGTGTCTAAATGCTGACAGTATTCATGTACTGTCTTTGTGGAAGAGTTATATTCTTTTTAGGCTTTTGTAGATTAGGCTATTATTGGTTGAAATGTGGAGAGCAGAGGAAGAGCATGCATGTATAGGGACAGAAAACTGGCACTAAAGATCTGTATTTTAGCTAAACTTTCTTCTGTGTCAGTTAGGATAAAATTATATTCAACAAAACCAAAGTGATGTATCATTTATTAAGATGCACATTAACTACACATTGATCAGCCGAAGAGGTCATAATGCACAATCAGTTGAAGCTTTGACTCTTCATGTGCTTAAAATAGACTGCACCATGAATACACAATTATACAATACTGACCTTATTAAAGGGACAGTTCACACCAAAAACAAAAATATGTATTTTATCTCTTACCTGTAGTGCTATTTATCAATCCAGATTGTTTTGGTGTGAGTTGCCGAGTGTTGAAGATATCGGCCATAGAGATATCTACCTTCTCTCCAGTATAATGAAGGTAGATGGCACTCAGCTTGTGGTGCTCAAAGCGCCAAGAAGTACAAGTACCAGCTCAGTGGCCTTGTGGTAGAGTGTCCGCCCTGAGACTGGGAGGTCGTGGGTTCGATCCCTGGCTGGGTTATACCAAAGACTATAAAAATAGGACCCATTGCCTCCCTGCTTGGCACTAAGCATCAGGGGTTGGAATTGGGGGGTTAGATCACCACATGATTCCCGAGCGCAGCACCGCTGCTGCTCACCGCTCCTTCAGGGGATGGGTCAAATGCGGAGAACAAATTTCACACATTGAGGTGTGTGACAATCAGTGGAACTTTACCTTTACCTTTTTACATTTGAAAAACTCAACAGCAATGTCTCTTTCCAGAAATCATGACCTGGTTACTCAAGATAATCCACAGACCTTGTTGTGAGCAGTTTCATGTTGGAACTATTTCTTTCTACTGACCAAAACCCGCCAACTATATCACCGTGCAGAAGGAAGTGTGCATCTACGCATGGTCGAGAGCACGAGATATAACCATTAATGACGTCGTCTTCTGAGTAGATACATGCTTTTTTTTCTGCATAGTGATACAGTTGACGGGTGTAATTCAGTAGAAAGAAAATAATTCCGACATGAAACTTCTCACAACAAGGTCTGTGGATTATCTTGAGTAACCGGGCCATGATTTCTGGAAAGAGACATTGCTGTTGAGTTTTTCAAGCGGGGTTTTTTGGGCGCTTTGAGCACCACAAGCTGAGTGCCATTTAGTTCCATTATATTGGAGAGAAGGCAGACATCTCTACGGCCGATATCTCCAACACTCAGCAACTCACACCAAAACAATCTATACTGATAAACAGCACCACATGTAAATATGTATTTTTGAATATGGGGTGATTTGTCCCTTTAACATTACGCTGCTCTCCTCCCCCAGGAGCGCATTGTGTTGCAGACGGTGCGGTGGCGGATGCGAGTGGACATTGCCGTGGACCCTGACATGCCTCTAGGCTCTCGGGCCTCGTTGGTGGGTCGTCCCTACCAGGAGCAGCCGCACATCCTCAACTACCAGGAGCCCATCCCCCCCAACGCGCTGGGGAGGCCGAATGCCAACGACGCCCAAGTGCTAATGTGGAGGCCACGGAGAGGAGCGCCACTAGTGGTCATCCCGCCAAAATAAGAGGGTCAAACGGTTGCACATACTAAAGTGTTGATTGTTCCCTCTTGCAGGATAGGGGGCATGAAGGTGATGAAGTCCTGAAGCCGATCAGAGAAGAGAGAATTGATGGTTTCCCTGCGCTTAAGATGCCAGTGGCTCATTGCCCCTGAAAGATTTAAGTGGACCATTATAACAAGCCAGAGTGGATATTACATCTTGGATCTGACACAACACAGTGTCAGAACGGAAATCTACAACAAACTTGTGTCAAGAGCCTGGGGTGCATCAAGGCTGTTTTTGGCCCCCGACAAGTTTTGGACTGCATTAAAGAGTTCTGCCTGCTTTTTAGCAAACAAGGAATGCTGTTTTTAGACGTACCACAGAGGTATTAGACACCAACGAGAACTGCATCTTGCATCCTTATGTAGATCTTATTGCATGAGAGCGTGAGAGAGACAAGAGAAATCGTCCTTGAGAAGTTTAAGAATAGCATTTGTTTTGTATAACTTGATACCTGAAGACATTTTGATTGAAAAGTCAGCCAAAAAAAACAAACAAAAAAAACCCTGCGGGCTGGTCAAACCTCGTCAGTGCCAACTAAGGCCTTCAGCACACTCAGTACCAGAGTTAAAGGATGTATTCAGAGAATTTTAAAAGAGACAAAGTATTATATGAATCTTTTTAGGTTAAGATTAACTCATGCATCAATCAGATTGTATTAAGAGCACCCACCTTGCATAAAAGTCTGGAAGAAGAACAAACCTGCTGTAGTTTTCACTGGAGTTTTGCTAACACACCAAACTTATGCACCAACGTATTTTCAACTCAGTCGTGCAGCTGATATTTTATTCAGATGGGTGACAAACGATCAGAGGAAGGAGCTGGACCTGTTACCACATTAAATAAATAATGTCAACTATGCTTTCAATAAGTGCGGTGTAAATGACTTGGAATAGTGCCATACAGCAAATTTAAAAAAGAGGGCGGTAGCTGGAATGAAGCCGAATTGTACTCAGTTCTAAGGTTGATTCGATGTGGCACTAATCAAGCCATGTTGCACTACCGAGTTACATAAATCTTCCTACAATCAGGGAATCTAAATGTACTCTTAATGGTTTCCTTGGTGTGGAATTAAACCAGACTGCATTTTGAAAATGATTTGTTCAATTTAGTGCCATTATTTAAGACTGGTTTATGAGGTCATATTACAGTTTCTCATTATATCGTTAATGTATATCAGTGGTTCTCAACTTACGGGCTCACATTCGGGTGCAGGGTGGCCAGCTAACCATTTTCTAATTCAAAAAGCAAATAAATTGATTTACACTGGAAATGTTTTGTATTTTTTTCTGGAGAGATCATAAGAAGCATGACTTCGATCCCCCAGACTTCCCTGGCAGAAGTGCAAGCTGAGGCCCCAATGCCTTCAAATCCTAGAGACACCCCTGTGCAGCCCTGCACAGGGGCTGCTGCCACTGGACTTGCCTGTTGCAAACATCGAAAAGGTTGAAAACTGGCAATTAATTTATTATATATACTGATAAATATTATTAATGTTTGTTAAAGGACCAATGTGTAGGATTTAGTGACATCTAGTGGTGAGGATTGCAGATTGCCACAAGCTGAACCTTCGCTCACGTGGAAAGCGTGAACTCCTGGTTATAATTCCTTCAGTGCTCATTGTTCAGGAGGTTTTTAGCGGAAGCCGAATAATCCGCAGAGGTCTTTTCCTCTTCAAAACAAACAGACCCGGTGATTTAAACCGGTAAAGACGCTGAATAAAGAAGTAAGATCTGTGTTTTTCCAACGCTGTTTGGCTCGTCGCAGAGGGGCTGCCAACGTGAAAACGTGAATGGCCCTATCCAGAGCCAGTGTTGGGTTTGTCCGTTCTTGGCTGCTGTATTAACGTGGCGATGTAACATGGACAAAGACCTGCTCCCTATGTAGATATAAAAGCTCATTCTTAGGTCACTAGAACACAACGATTTGAGTTTTCAGGTGATTATACACTAAAGAAAACACACTTCTATATTCCTTTTCTGTCAAAATACCCCCCTATATCCTACACACTGGACCTTTAACTGGCCTCCTGTCATTCTGCAAAAGTGGCAAACCAAGTTGAGCATCCCTGACGTATATTATACTGCTCTGCAGATAATCACAGATGAAGGTTTCCTGTGTCATGGCTTGGTCTGTCCAGTGGGCTCATCCTGGTCTCAGTCCAAGTCCCTGCCTGCCACTCCACACAGGAGTCACATGACTCATCCTCCATCTGTGCTTCTCTCCAGGTTCACGCCTCACCTTCCCAATCTGCTTGCTTGTTTTCTCCCCTGTCCGTCCACCCTCATCACACACACTATCTCCATCCAAATACACTCTGATTCCACAACTATGCAAAGATTATCTGTGACTGTAAACAAAAACAGAGGGAGAAAAACTGGCAACATGGGAAAGATGTGTATTTTTCATTTGCCTCAATCTCCTTTTTTTATTTTTCAGGGTTGAATAAAAATGGCTGTTGTAAATGTACTCAGAGAGGTTAAAATAGGTTATATTGATTCAGTGTGTCTACATTTGTCGCTGCACCACAGCTCAACCAGCCATCTGTTGCTATAGAGACTGGTTTGGTTTTTTCCGAGTGCACTGCAACTGGAACTGAAAAAAAAAGACGGTTCAAAATATTCATGGGTGTGCCTGTGTGTATGCATGAGTGTGTGTGAGAGAGAGAGTGTGCACATGTACACACACAGCTCCGATGTGTCTCTTCATTTCACTTTGAAGTAAGAAAAAAGATCAAGGCAAAGCTGGTTGTTTCAACACAAAATGCTTTAATTTATTCATTTGTTCTCACAAAAGGCCTCAATTTTGCATTTAAATAACAGAACAATGAATGTTTTTGATAAAAAAAATACTCAGACTGTGAGCAGCAAGGTCAAAGCAGTCATATGCCATCTTATCTTATCTCATATAAAAAGGACATTCAGCATCTTTGACCAAAGGTAACCCCTCCTCTTTGCAGCAAGTTTGCGCCTCATTCCACCACTAGATGGAAGCTCTGTTGAGGATTTTCCTCTCTTTGAGACAGGCGATACCAGCACCATTAATGCCCTTCTGTTAAGTAAAAACATCCCATATCCCACAAAACATAAATACAATATATTTAAATATATAAAAATCTTTTCCCAAATATCCACAAGGCCTTCATAATCTCCTCCTGGTCTCTGTAAATTGTTCTTACAGTACATCTGACAGATAATTGTCATACAGCATATTAGTTTTACTGCAACAATGTTTGTTGACGTGTAAAGTTTGCTCCACTGTACTCCTGTTCGTATTTCTTAAAAAAACCCCTTTAAAAAATACATAAAGCAAATGTTTTTCATATTACTGACCCCCCATCGTTTGTGCAAAGCAGCATTTTTCCAGCGTGAGGAGAGGAGTGGGTACATTCAGCCTCAACCATCTCCAGCTGTGGTTGTTTGGCAGTAACAGGTTTTATCGGATTTCCTGCATTCTTAATTTCCTCGTGCCAGACTCGCTGACACAGTTCACAGAGTCCTGCTCTTGTCTCTGTCAGGTACCATCGTTACGTCTGTAAGGAAGAGTTCTTCACAGAGGTATCTGTTTATACTTTGACAGCGCTGCCGCTGGCAGGTTTGCTCTCCATGCTGTAAAGAAATGTGGCAGCAATAACCAGCATTGCCCCGAGGAAGAATACACTGAGGCAGGAACAGGACACAAAAGAGGGAAAATAAAGAAGCATTAATAGTGAATTGAAAAAAAACTATCACATTGTGTACTCAGCGCATGTCATGTGAATATGATTAAGAGTCTACAGCCCATGCTAGCGGCTCTGTGAGGCTGTGCTTAAAGGGACAGTTTACCCCCAAAATCAAAATCAAATTTTATCTCTTAACAGGCCCCCAGGAGGTGCACAGGACTTTAAAGCCAAATTTAGTAGAGGCCAAATAGTATAATTACATCATGCCCTTTGGCCCAAACAGACTTTTTCCCCTTTTGTCTTACATGGCGAAAGAGATGTAAATCAGTGGATACATTTTTTTGAGCAGAACAGCCCCCGCAAAATGACTTGTTTCACTATCAGCATTTGATTTATTCAGTCTGATAACGTTTGTAAAGTCTAGAAGAAGAGCTGCACAATCCTTTTATCCCCATTCACATTAGCGATGTGCTAAACTTGAAGTTAGCTGCTTGGCTGAGGGAAGTCTCTATTGTTATGTTTGCCACGTTCAATATTTTAGTTTAGCATGTTAGCGTGCCCACATTTGCTAATTAGCACTAAACACAAAGTACAGCTGGGGCTGATGGGAATGTTATTAGTTTTGCAGGAATTTGATCATTTTGATCGTAATTGAAATTTTGCCCTGCTGGATGAGCTCGAGAGACAGTATTTTTTTTTTTTGTTTTAACAACTCTTTTCGTGGAACCTGAACATCTGTACAAACTTCATGGAAATCTATCAGATAGTTGTTGAGCTGTTTTATTCAAAACTAAAAATGTCAACCACATAGCGATACTAGATGAAAATTCAGGGGATCATCAAAGTTCTGTAGATTACATCACCTAGGAACCATGAATGCCTACACAAAATTCAATGGCAATTTGTTTAATAGTTGTTTTATTCTGGACCAAAGTGGTGGATGGACCAACAGAAGACTGAAAGCCTGACATTGCACAGAGCCACACAGCTAGCATGTCAAAAAATAATAATTATATATATATTAAAAATTTGCATATCACAATCAAGCCTTGCAGGAGTGTGAATGAGCATGCATGTGTTTACCTTGTAGGGTTAAAGTCCTCCAACAGGAAATATGAAATGACTGTGGACAAGATGATGGACAGAGAGGTGGCGAATCCTTTCAGGATGTTGTCTGCATATTTAATGACCACTGCTATGACCAACCCGCCCAGAGCCTGCGGACAGAGTTCCAGACCAACACACAAAATATGAACCAAGATATGAGCGTGGACACGAAATGAATTTTTAGTGGCAATTTACAAAATGTCAGAATGAAGAGAAGCATCATGATCAAACCTGTAAGACAACGACCGTGCAGGTGATGGTGTTGTAGCCCTGGAACATTCCCGACTCGCTCACCCTCTGGCTGTCATAAACCATCATTCCTAAGAAGCCAAACACAGAGCCGAACAAACCTGGAGGACACAAGGAGAGACAGAGAGGTGAGGTTATTGTGGCAGCTACAAGATATAGTGATGCTTAAACTGATCTCATTAAAAGAAGATGCGTCCAGCGTGTAGGACTTAGTAGCATCTAGTAGTGAGGTCACAGAACTGAAACCGTGTACCAAGCGTGTAGGACGACTATGGACTCTATGGATGAGGACCAGCTCCATATGTAGTTATTTTAAGGTAATGACAACACGCCTGTTTTTATTTTCAAGTGATTACATACTAATGTAAACGTAAGTATGAATATATCAAATGGACAATTTCTGCCAGCAGGTGCCCGTAAATCCTACACACTGGACCTTTAATGTGAGACACTACAGGTGAGAACGTTTTTTCATGTGCTGCAATTTTGAGATTTTGGGCTTTTTTGCTCCTATAACACGTCTTCTTTCAGACTGGTAGACAGAAAGCATCCAAAATACACATGTAGGTTTATTATAGTTCAGATTTCTGTCCTGGAAATTGATGCAAAAAGTGCATATTTAATTAGACAATGCCTCATTTCCACATTTAAACATACATTTTCAGAAAACCTATAATACCTATAATAAGTAATTGTCTTAATCTAAGTATAACTGGGGAACTTTCATGTTGAAATCTATTACGCTTAGTTAATTTTTTGTTTTTTACCCGATTCACCTGTGGTGTCTTATTTTGGTCTGACAATTTTACAATACATATCTTTAAAGGATTTTTTTTCTCAAAATGCATTTTTTTTCCTCAGATTCTGAGTCAGAAATTTCCACTTCCATATGCACTTACATACACAAGACTTTTATTCCTGTCTATATTCTGAAGGTTTATGGGAATTCTTAATGTAATTCATAGCAAGATTTATATATTTTATTCCTAAAAACATGGTGAAATTTCTTTCTTTCTCTTTGAAAATCTTGAAGAATTTTAAACCTGGCTTTATCCAGTGTTTTGGAAATGTATGCAGATTAGCACATATTTAATTTGATAGTGCACAATATGTATGTTAAAAAATAAAATTCCAGAAAACTTGTTATACAAAAATAATTGCCTAATGTAAGAAATTAGACATCTATTATCCCTTATAGTTGTTTACCCTGTTCAACTTGAGTGTTTCCTCGTAAGTCAAAAGCAAACATGATGGGATGGTGCCATTAGTTTAGCTAGAGTTTAGGACGGGGTGTTGTCCTCTTTTATCAGTTTGATGCCTTCAGAATTTGTCCCATTGCACCAAGCTGCCACTAGAGGTCACTGTATTTGAGGTAACAGCCAAAGCTACTTCCCACAGGGTTCATCTGAGTGTAACATTTAGTGAGAGATTTACACACACGGTCATTCAGGTCTTTCAGGAGAGATGTTAAAGTCTGACAGGTGTCCGCTCCATTCACTCAGCCCCCCCCCCCCCCCCCCCCCCCCCCCCCCCCCCCCCCCTCCTTCTGTTGAGAAGTTTCAACAGAAGGAGAGAGAGAGTCAGAGAAAGCCTGACCTTCTGCTCTGCTATGGTCATAAAATGAGACGACCTCATTCACACAACCTCTCATTAGTGAGTGAGAACGTTAACCAAACTTCTTCTCTTCTGTCACAGCATTTAGTGAAACTGAGGATGTTGCAAAACCCAACAGTCAGATAACAAGTCATCTCAGGTGGTGTGCAGCTGTGGAGAGTTGGGCAGCTTTTAGTGAGTGGAAATAAGAAGAATAGAACTAATTTGCTCGTTTATATTTTTTCTGAACATCTCTGCTCAAACATGGGCAAATTATGAGACAATGGGCCCCTGGGCACAGGTGTGCAGAAGGCCCCACCACCTCTCCTACACAGGAGCAAGACAGACAGACTTTGTGCTGGTTTTGCCTATTCTTACCTCCGCCAAGGAGGTTATGTTTTCACCGGCGTTGGTCTGTTTGTCTGTTTGTTTGTTTGTTTGTTTGTCTGTTTGTTTGTCTGCACGGATTTTGATGAAATCCAGGAAATTTCAGGAAAGGTTCAAAATGGGACAAGGAACAGATGATAAAATTTTGGTGGTGATCGGTTGAAGCAAAGTGGATAAAATAATAAAATGGCGGGAAATCCGTCTGCACTCTCCGAGTGCTTTTCTAGTTGTTGATGTTTTGCATCTCTTTGTAGTTGTTGGCATCTTTTTGTGAGTTTCTGTCTCTTTGTGGTAATTTAGTGTGTCCTTTTTTGTTTTGTGTCTCGTAAAGGTTTATTTGTGTCATATTTGGTCGCTTCGTTTCTCTTTGTAGTTGTTTTGTGTCTCATAAAGGTTTATTTGTGTCTTTTCGGCCATTTTCTCTTTTTAGCTCCTCTGCATCTCTTTATTGTCATTTTGTGTTTATTTAAAGGTCAATCAGGGTCTCTGTGAGGTATATTTGTGTCGTTTTTGTTTGTTGTGTGTGTCTTTGTAGTTGTTATGTATCTCTTTGTAGCTCCTCTGCATGTCTTTGCTGTCATTTCGTGTTTCTATAAAGGTCAATATGTGTCTTTTTGAAGTCTTTTTGTGTCTCTTTAAGGTAGATCTGTGTCTTTTTTGGTTGTTTTGTGTCTCTTTGTAGCTCCTGTGCATCTCTTTATTGTCATTTTGTGTTTATCTAAGGTCAATCTGAGTCTCTGTGAGGTATATTTGTGTCATTTTTGGTTGTTTTGTGTGTCTTTGTAGTTGTTTTGTGTCTCATAGTAGTTCCGCTGCATCTCGTTTTGGTCAGTTTGTGTTTCTTTAAGTTATATTTGTGTCTTTTTTGGTTGTTTGTGTCTCTCTGTAGTTCCTTTGCATGTCTTTGTTGTCATTTTGTGTTTCTGTAAAGGTCAATATGTGTCTTTTTGAAGTCTTTTTGTGTCTCTGTGAGGTATATGTGTGTCATTTTTGGTTGTTTTGTGTGTCTTTGTAATTGTTTTGTGTCTCTTAGTAGTTCCTTTGCATCCCTTTCTGGTTGTTTTTTGTCTCTTTAAAGTCATTTGTGTCTCTTTAATGTATATTTGTGTCATTTTTGGTTGTTTTGTGCCTCCCATAGTTCCTTTGCATGTCTTTGCTGTCATTCTGTGTTTCTGTAAAGGTCAATATGTGTCTTTTTGAAGTCTTTTTGTGTCTCTTTGAGGTATATTTGTGTTTTTTTGTGGTCATTTTGAGTCTCCTTGTGGTTGGTATGTATCAGTTTGGGTGATATTTTGCAGGTGAAGGCCAGGTTCAACCAATCCATCCATGCTCTCAAAGGGAAAATCAGATTCTTGCTTTTACTAAATGTTATGTATCAAATGTATCAAACCTGATCTGATTCCTGTCCTAAACACGTTTCCATTAACATTAAAAAACAACTTCAGGTTTTAAGAGGAAGATAGCAATTGCATTTGCTGTGTTATATATATTTTGCAATCTTCTTGCCTGAGAAGAATTTGTAAAGCAGCACCCTCCCTTTATCAGCCTTAAAGAAATACTTCACCCACAAATCAATTTCTGACCCTGAGTCACCTTGAATTTGTGAAGTAAACCTTGTTTTTCTTGCACACCTCCACAGTAAACGAAGAATCCAAAAATAGTTAAGAGTCTTGATTAACTTGAGTAAAGAGGGTCCAAATTCAAAGTAACAGGGGTGAGTAATTGATAAACAAATGGTTAATTTATGGGTGAAGTATTCCTTTAAAAGCATAATCAGGTCACTTGTGCAACATTACCTTTCTTACCTGTAATCTCTGTGAGAGGAAACCTGTTAATCTGGCTTGTGAAGCTACAAGAAAAAAAGGCAATGGCACTGAAATGATATTTTGATGAATGATTTTACGATGTTATCAGGAAATGAGCCATTTGTAATCCATTCCACACAACAAACTCATTACTGATCACTGGCATGTAGAACTGGATCCAATTAATTGGTGTTCATGTGAAAGACAGAATTTTCTCTTTGTCTTCTGCAGTTTGTGATTCTCATCTCACTAAGTATTTTAGTTTCACATCAACTAAGCCGTTACATCAAGAGCAGAATGGCCAATAACAACAGTAGGCCATATCAATATCACAAACAATATATACTTCCACTGGAACACAGTACTTAAGTTGTTTCAGAGTTAATAGGGAGCATAATATGAGCAACTGCTGCAATCAAGAGGCACAATAAAACAGGGACGTACAATAGAGGCTCGCAGCTAAGATAAGATAAGCCATTTATTTATTTAATATTTACTGTCACTGTATTGTTATTCATTACTTATCTTTTATTTGTGGCGATATATCTTTAAAGACATGAATGCAGAGGCGGAGTGCGCCAACATTAGGTGTGTCAGTGAAACAGGGTTCTTTGTTATATTGAAATTCAAAAGGTGTATTATTTCCCGTGTGTCAGTAGGACAGGAGGAGATACATTTCACCTGGCTGAATTTCACACTTTAAAAACAAAAGGGGGTATTTTACAAGATCTGGCTGGTTTGATCCATCTGATACTCACAGATATATAGTGCGGTGCTACTTTTTGTGTGCAGACACAGCAGAAAAAGTTTCCATGGAGTTTTTTGGACTCACGCTTGTGATGCCTGTTATCGTATTGCAAAGTTGGCTTCTAGTTAGATAGTGAAAATATGTCAGAAGATAAAAAGGCAAGAAAACCATATTGGTCAGAGGAGGAAAAGATTATACAATCACAGAAAGCACATCCTACAAAGTAAATTTGATCCTCAAATACCACAAAACAGAAAACAACTATAGGAGGAAGCAATGAAAATTAATTCAGTCAAATCTATGTGTAAAATCAAAAGCGTATCCACTGGGTTCTCCTTGTCTCAGAATAGTCTTCTTGGGGTGTGCTCGTTTTTTTCATTTATCACCATAAACTCGGTCATGCTGCAGTTAAGATAGAGTCAGGTACCTTAAGTTTCCTTTTTTTCCCTTGCTTTGGTTGCTAAGGTATTTTGTGCAACAGTCTAGAGGTTCCTTAAGTACAAGACCAAGACAGGAGGAGGAAACTATGAAAACCTTGAAGAGAAGACTTAAGGGTGTTTTGTACACCCAATTTTATTTTGAGAAAACCTTAACTAGGACTTGAAGGAAAATCTTAACTTAAGGCGTTTTGTGCAACTGGCCCCTGAATCCTAACCCTGATGTCGTCACCTGGGTGCCTACAGCCATGTGAACCAGTCAGGTTGCAGTTACAGTCTACATCCATGCCTGTGAAATCATGGATGCTTCACACACATCTTCCCTCCAGCAGCACAGAAGATCTACACAATCAGCACAGTTTCAAGGTTTCAAGATTAGTGTCACCAATTCAGTATCTGACCAAATGTTTTCCCTTCTGTTCCTGAGATATGACGCTGAGTAATGAGTAAAGTGTTTTTGCAGAACACTATGATGTCACAGTGAAGCTGACCTTTGACCTTTTGCACATAAAATGTCAGCACTTAATCTTTTCATCCTGTTAGACATTTGTGTGAAACATACTTTGTGAGTTTACAGTGACCTTTGACCACCAAATTCTAATCAGTTCTTTGTTAAGCCCATGTGGACGTGTGTCCCAAATTTGAGAAAAATTCCTTCGAGGTGTTTTGGAGATACTGTGTCAATGAGACAGACATAGTCACAGTGACCTTGACCTTTGACTACCAAATTCTAATCAGTTCATAGCTGAGTGGTCAAAGTGAAAGGGGGCATTTGTCCCAAATCTGAAGAAAGGCATTCTTGAGATTTTTGCGTTCACAAGAATGATACGGACAGATGGACAACACGAAAACATAATCCTCCAGTCCCCGCTGTTGTCAGTGCGGAGGCATAAAAACACTTTTCATGGCACTATCCGGGGTGGAAACACAGCAACGCTAAAAGACACCCATGTTTGTTGGCTAAAAAGCTGCTGGAAACGCAACAGTGACAATCAGTGTTGTTGTGTGTTGGTGTCGAACAGTCGCAAATCTTCAACGGTCAAAACAAAAGAATTTTTCTTTTTTGCTAAAACCTTCTATCAAAACTTGGTTTATTTTATGAGTATTTAAAAACAGTGACTAAGGGCTTTCTTATTGTTATTAAACCAATCATTAAGTCTTTATAGATCAGTGATAACCCATCAGTAAGACCAACTTTGGGTTGCCAGGTTGCAAAAAATCCCTCTGTCCAATTTTAACTTTAAAGTTAAATGTGCTTTATTGGCATAACATTTCAGAAAATATCTTTGCTTAGGCAATGACCGACAATAAAATGATGAAACCTTCTACAGTTCATGTTGAAATTTAACATGAATTTCTGTGTGAGAGGAGGATGAATTAGTGAAACACACACACCAACTCTGACTTATTATGGTCACTTCTTGCCAGAAAAACCGAGGCCATAGTTACTCACCCAGCTGTATGTTGCGGACCCACACACTCTGTTTGGTCTCCTTGAGGATTTTCTCAAAGTAAACGCCAGCGAAGCCACTGGACACACAGGCCATCAGCACAGCCATCAGTCCCACAAACTGGGAGCCTGCTGTCAGGATCTTCTGCTCAGAGTCACCTTCAGACTCTGTGGGCCACTGCGGAGGATAAAACACTGGTCAACACATGCAGGGAGGAGTGCAGAACTAAACATCTGCCAATTAGAGTAATAAAACTGTTTATTGTAACTAAACTGTGTGATGAGTCAGTGACGTCAGATCCCACACCCATGCAGCAGATAAACCCGAATGCATGTGTAAACTGCTCAGGCACTGTGCAGCTTCAGTGTCTGCTGTTACCTGCACTAGAGTGACTCCAGCCATTAGTACGAGCAGGGAGAGCCACTGGTAGAAGCCCAACCTCTTCCCCAGCATAGAGACAGAAAACAACGCTGTGGTGAGGATCTTGAGCTGGTATGTGACCTGTGTGGAGCACAACACAAACACAACACTAAGACGGACAGTCAGGTGTGTAAATATGACGAGAGAACATTGGTTTCAAACTAAGGCTTGAGAGTGGCCAGTTCAGTTATAGGCACACACACACACACACACACACTGAACTTGAAAAAGCACCCTCATATGTTACCTGATAGGTGGCTGCGTCCAGGTTGGATAAGGCAACATAGAGCAGATTGTTCTGCAGCGTGTAGATCCCTGCAGGAATCGCCAGCTTCATGGTCTCCACGGGTTTGTTCACAATCTCCTCCTTCAGTAGCCGTGGACTGAAATCTGGCAGAAACAGAGAGTGTGTTGTCAGTGAGGGACCACCCATGGAGTGACAAGACAAAGAGAGGAGACAGCCAGCCGTCCTGGTATTAAGAAGACTGGAGGACATTCATATTAAATCTTGTCCCCTGTAGTGTTCAAATCTACACCTGCGAACAGACTTTTCCTACTCACTGCTCTCCTTGAAGACGAGGAGGGTGCAGACGAGGATCTTGAGCACCTCGGTCGACACCACAGCAGAGGAGGCCAGGTAACGCGGGCCGTCTTCCTTCAGGGTGCGGGAGTAGCGCATGGTGAGCACCAGTGAGGTAGTCTGTAGCACCAGCACCCCCAGAGACATATACTTAAGTCCGTAGGAGTGTGGTGAGGACAACACCATCTTGGAGGACTCTTTGTGCGATTCAGCAGACAACCAGGGAGTCTTAGGGGTAGACAGACAGAAAAGAGGCAGATTGAATGAGTGAGTTCAAATCTGGTTCAGTCAGAGAGGACTTCACTGTCACTTCCACTGGGGCACCATACAGAGGCTCCTGGAAGGCTGCTTCACCACTTGGTATGGTAGCTGCACCAGCGTGGACCACAAGGTGCTGGTGAGGGTGGTGTGCACGGCCCAGCCTGCAGCTGCACATACCAGGCCAGGGATACTTACTTACTCTGCCTGGGGGCCATCAAGCAGCAACCTTCACCCAGCACCCAATCTACAAGTTGCCAGGGGTTGAGTATCACTGCCCCGGGCCATAACTGCTACTACAACTGTTAGTAAATGAATATCTCACACACACACACACACACACACACACACATTTACCTCATATATGACTAGAATTGTATATATTTTGCCTTGAATGTAAAGATACAGAAATCTTTTTTATTGCCTCTTATCTTTTGTTATTATGTTTCTATTTTTTGTACTTTGTATTTCTTCCTTTATTTAATGGAGCCTCCCAGCCAAAGTCTTTCACGCAATCACACTTGTATAACTGGAGTGACCACAAACATGTGTCCTGTAGTTAGTAATTAAAGGGTAGTTAAACAGAAAGTACACCCTGAGGCAACGCATGGCATCCCTGTGACCGACCTGACATCCTGGAGCACATCAAATAAAGACCAGCCCATAAATAAGACTAATGGGGAGGTGACAACATGTATTTTACAGTAAAATTAAAAGTCCAGAACAGCTGTCAGCCTCCGTATACCGAGCACGGAAGTATGTCCACCAACAGAAACAAACTGCTCGTTCAGAGAGGAGGGTTTGGTAAATCAAGCTGAACCTTCAAGTGACCATCACCTGTCAGCATAAGCCACAACCTTCTTTCCCTTTGCACAAGCTATTTTGTGTTTATGTGCTTTCTGATATCCATCTAACTACAAGGTTAATTTATCCTCTTAGGCAGCAAAGGTGATCTCATTTTTTTGAGGTTTCTATGTCCTTCTGTTGCTTCTTTAGTGTATTCAAATCCAAAAATTCAAATTTTGGTTGGTATCTGTATGTCAGCCCTTCTATAAATGTTTGCCCACATGACTAAATATAGATCCCCTAGCCCAGGGGTCTGCAACCAAAATGAAAAATAATCTGCCTGGAGCCGCAAAAAACATACGAGAGCCTTATAATGAAGGTAACAATTAGCCAGTAGGTCTAAATAAGCATTTATTAATATGTTTTAACACAAAGCGGTCACTCTGAAGTGGGCTTTCTATGGTTATTTAGTTCTTAAACTTTGCAGTGTTGGTGTTCACACACCAACAAATTCTAATTTTTTCCCCCTTTTTTGGATTAAGAATTTATAGCTAGCTTATCTAGGGAGACTCAAGACCAGCCACTGCTACTGAGGTTTGGCAAAATATAGAGGAAAAGGCGCCAGGTCATAGAATGACGAAGCACATTTTAGTTGACAAAATGTTAAAACATTTTTTTATTCAGTGTATAGGCTACACATTTTTACAATTGGAGAATTCAAGAATCACTTTCAGCCTACAACAGTGATCAATGAAAATTAAAATCTTAAAAAATGACGTCATTCATTTCCATATCAATTTTTGAAGTCACATGGAGCCACTGCAGAGGGGCCAAAGACTCACATGTGGCTCTGGAGCCACAGGTTGCCTACCCCTGCCCTAGCCCGTTGGTTCTCAAATGGTGTGCTGTGAGAGGTTATGAATTCATTTTTAATTGACTGTATCAGTATGTTGTGCGCACCCATTTCTTAATAATAAAGAGGCAAACTCTAGCTAAAAATTGTAATTTAATTGGATTTAATTTAAAAAAATGTCATGAGAAACCTTTTTGTTGCCGTTCACGCGTGGGAATTAAAAGTGTGTGGCAAATTAAAAGCAATGATTGACAGGCGGTGTGAGGACGATAACATTTAGAGCCGTGAGTGGGACAATGGATCACTTTATTGTGATAAGATAAGAGATAAAATATAAGAGTGACAGCACATGTTATATTAGCTTTTGTATACAGACGTAAATACAGGTGTGCCTTGAGATTTTGATTTGCCTTTTGGTGTGTGAACACCACTGCCCTAGCCAGCCTCCTGTGCCTCTTTCTGTCTGAGCCAAGAAAGCCATATCATGGCTTCAGAAAGCAAAGGGGTGACGCACTTTTAAATATAGCGTACACTTGAACTGATATTAATTTATCAGGTGGCTAAAACATGTTTTGCTGCTGCCCCCACCCACAGCCAACACAAACACATATTGCGTCACCAGAACAGTTTGTATCTCATCCGTCAGCCTTGAACAAAGCACCAAACCCATCATGCATTGATGGTTAGGTTGAGAGTAATGAGGTCATTATTAGCGGTCTTGTAACTACAGTGTCCTGGAGGCTTGCAGGCAGACATTCTTAGCTCTTCTGCCATACACTTCCTGACTGAGGCATCTCTTCTCAAAACAGGTACTCACAGTTTTCTCCATCACCTCATCCAAATGGACCAAAATTTCAAAAATTCTTGCGAATATGAAAGGCTAACAACGCTAAAATGCTGACAGCAATGTCACGTCACAGAGCCTGCAGCCCCTTTCAAGTGGGGGGAGGAAAAGAGTGACCTTCACTGGTAAAAAATCTAAAAGGCCCCTTTTGCATTAGGTATTAATTTACCCCCACACTATATCGCTCCCACCATAGGACAGTTTTTAACCCCTACCTGACTGACAGTACTGCAGTTCTTTCTTCTCTACAGTTACGGTTTTATTTCAAGCACACAAACCAGTTCTTTGGTAAAAATAAGGCAGAAAACGATGTGTAAATCTATTTACTGGGAAGCTCAGAGGCAAAGTCCACTGAGCCATGCCATAAAATGGTAGTATAGTTTCTACTGTGACAGCCTATTTATCCTGCTTCGGTCAAGAGGATGTACGACAAGCCACGATGGCCAAAGACGTGTTGACAGAACAAGAGGTGTGGTGTGTTCAACACACTGAGCTCCTTATGTAGCAGTTCTGCTTTGCAGAGGGGCATGGCTGCACAATCCCTCTCTGTTTGTGTGTGTCAATATGTGTGCGTGTCCTTCTACACACACCCAACAAGCTCTCCTCTCACTCTCTCTGAGCACATTTTAAGAACACTGACGACTTTTATTTTCAGCTGCCGGCTACACAAACATCTTTACACTTGTTTATTCTTGGGACAGCTACAAGAAGATTGACTATTTAACGTCTTAATTCGCAGAATACTAGTGGTGGATCGGTCTTTACAAACTCGTCCTGCACAGCCTACATGAGTTTTATTTTATCTTTAGCGCAGATCTAAAAGTTTCCAAAGATACCAAATATGTCAGGCTTACGTTGTGAGACATATATCTACCTGCAGTTGGATGGAAAAATAGTCCAGATGTTGGACTACTGACTCATAGTTGTACCTCCACAAACGCAACAGAAACGCCTCATTTGAAGAGATATTTTACATAACTAAATTTTTGTGTTTCCCAATTTTGTAAAATGTAATTTATGACTGCCCATGTTTCCAAGTTTTCCAATAAAAAAGAAAATGTTTGATCACAAAAAAAGGAATTCCCACAAGACATTGCTGAGATAAAATGTTCACAATAATGGGACAGACGGATGGACGGACAACCTGAAAACATACTGCCTCTAGCCATGAGTATCGCCGGCACAGACGCATGAAAATAAAAGATCTACGTTTAGAATTGGAAGATGTGAAGATGCATATAGATGCCACATCACACAAAGTGCTATCTGCGTCAGTAAATCAGGTCATATCATCACAAGCTGTTCTAAAACAGTAGTTCCCAACTGGTCCAGCCACAGAGTCCAGATTCCTCCTCAGTCATTAGTTCAAGGTCAACACAGGATCAACACATCCTACTTACTTTGGCCATGTCGTCAAGCTAGTTTGCTGTCTTTGTCAAACATCTGTCCGTTAGTCACTCACTTTACAACAGGAAATGGCACTTCAAAATTAAAGCTCTCTGCCTGGAATTCACTGTACTTTAAAAAAACGCGTTTTTTACTTGACAAGTTTAAGAGTCAGTCCCACTGGTAAGAGGCCCCGGGGCAGACCCAGAACACGCTGGAGGGATTACATATCTCGTCTGGCCTGGGAACACCTTGGGGTCCCCCAGGAGGAGCTGGAAAGTGTTGCTGGGGAGAGGGATGTCTGGGGTGCTTTGCTTGGCCTCCTGCCCCCGCCCCCGTGACCCGGATAAGTGGATGAAAATGGATGGATGGATGGAAGTTTAAGAGTCATTGCGGTCCTTTCAGAATGAACCCACGACGCACCACTTGGGAACAACTGCTCTAAAAGACACCGTAGAACAGTAGTGAAAAGTGCATTTATTCCAGTACTGCACTTCAATACAGTTTGGCAGTGCTTGAACTGGAGTACTTCCATTTCCTGTTACTTTATGGCAGCAGTAGCTCAGTCCACAGGGACTTGGGTTAGAAACCAGAGAATCGCCAGTTCAAGTCCCCGTCCGGACTAAATATGGAGCGTGAACTGGTAGCTGGAGAGGTTCTTTTTACTCTGCTTCATTTATCTGACAGCTGTAGTTACTAATACCTCTGTACTTTAACACTGAGGTATTGCTACTTAAAGTAAAGGATCTGAGACCTTCTTCCATGGATTATTTCACACACAAAGTGCCAACACAACACAGTAATGCTGTCATACACCATCTGCCTCTAAAAGCTATCTGTTTATAATCCACCCTAATCCCCCGTCTGATGAGAGCTGCAATCATTGCTGTCAACACTACGTTCAATCAACTGACCCCTGACCTTAGAATACAGTTATCCTTTATCTTCTAACAGAATCAACATCAATCACTGAGCACAAACATATGAAATGTTAGACTAGGCTCTGTGCCAGGGGTGGAGCCAGATGTTGAAAGCATCTGGGGCTCAGTCCAAACCTAGGGGGCTCCCCCCGGGAAGATTTTTTTTTTTTTTTACAGCAGCTATATGCACTATTTTTCAAACCATCTGAGATAATAAATGCCAAAAAATCTGTCTATCATTTGGGAACAACACAATAGTTGCCAAGGCAAAGAAAAATCATGCTGTAAGAGCCTACATCCTATTTTGCGTCTGATTGTTCTCCAACTGTCGTCATCATTCTGAAACCATAACACAGCACATGCTGAGGATGACTCACTTTCACTCCTGCCACCTCAAAGCAGCAAAGACTGTTTGATGAGTAGTAGTTTTGAAATCTATTTTTGGTTCACTATGCTGGAGTAGAGCTCACAGACACAATGTTTAGCTAATAAATCTGCTACATTTGAATCCATGCTATTATAATCTGGGCTGTTCCAACTGCGAGTTGAAGATCCCCAACAATGTAAATGTGGTCTTCGGTACTTTGAACTAAATATTAGGCCAACAGAGGAACATTTACTCAACTATATTAGACTAATCTAGGGATAAAGAACAAACAACACAGGCATATATTATTTCCTGGATGACACAAAGTTGAGGAATTGGGGCTTTTGAAAAACACATTTAGGGATGGCGCCCCAGACGCCACCCACCTTCTCTGGCTCTGCTCTGTGCCAGATATCTGCAGTTAGTTAAAGCTTCACAAACAATCCAGCAGCAACCATACAGAGGGGAAACTGAACCAGGAAACACAGTCCAGCTTAATGTGCCCCATAAATGTGACACTATTTGTTGAACAGAGCTTTCTCACCTGGCTCCGTTAGTTTAAAGAACATTCTCCCTGCCGCCTTCCCCTAAAGCAGGGGGGGACTTTGAGTCCCCTCAGGAGGGAAAGCAGAAGTGGACAAGCAGTTTGACGTTAGGAAAATGAAGACATTGTAATGAATGCCAGGTACAGTATGTTCCTAAAACTAGTGCTGTGCTTTTTTTTTCTTTTTTTTTCAAGCTTCTACTGGGGTGTGTAGTCATATTTTATGACCTCATCACTCTATTTTTTTTTAAATCCTCCACCAAAAGTCTCAATTTGATGAAAGTGATTAATTGACAGATTAGTCTTTTCTTTTATTGTATCAGCCTTCTCTGTATAATAAATGTAATTTATGAAACCGTTGCTGCTAGATCACCCGGTTCATACAGGTGCGTGCGAGTGGGAGAGCAGACAGTTTTTTGTTTTTTGCAAACACATATGGACTGAAGCAGAATATTTCATTAGATGAAAACATGTTGTGAATTCTTGGAAATTATTGTAGCTATCTTTTTGGACTTTACAAGGCTCTGGAGTTGGGAATGTGTGGATCTCACGAGCCGGAAACAGTTCGAATGATGGTTCAGAATTCAAACATCAATGTTACGAATGATCATTCATTTTCAGTAGCTGCTTATCCTGTTGGGGTCGTGGGGGGCTGGAGCGTATCACAGCTGGCATTAGGTGAGATGCAGGGTACACCCTGGACCGGTTGCCAGACTATCACAGGGCTGACACATAGAGACAGACAACCATTCACACTCACATTCACACCTACGGACAATTTAGAGTCACCAGTTAACCTGCATGTCTTTGGACTGTGGGAGGAAGCTGGAGTACCCAGAGGAAACCCACACTGACACTGTTTCTGATATAGATGCATGTCTCCCATCACAAATAATGAGCAAGGCATGGATCTCTGAATACAAAACACCAGCCAGGTGTGTAAGACTATACAGTCACAGGCCTGTGACAAAACCAGGATCCAGGTGCACATGTAACATTACATTTCCATTTCCAGAGCAGGTGTAGCATCAGATAACACAGACAACCGATATGCAGCATACTCGGGTCAAAGAAAGCAGTGACTGTGGCCCTAGTGAGCGTGGGGCGTCCACCAAGGTCTGCTCCACCTTTGGGACATTTGAGACATGTACAGCTCCACATTGTGATCATTCAACATGCAGGACAACACAGCACAACACTAGTGAGATAAGCAGGTCAAACTGCAAACATGCTTCAAATCTAAACTGAGATGCTGTGATTTTTGGGATGTGCTGAGAACGGACTGAGTTTGACATGTCATTCACGTGAGGTGGCCTGCAGGTGGTGACGTGGACCTGTGTGTTAATGAGGAAACCTTCATTAATTTGTTTTAATGGGAGTTGACCTGAACAAATACTGAACATCACAACAACATCCGGATGTGGATCCGCCAGGAGGCAAATTGAAGGAGATTAGCGAATGAATGAATCAAAGCAAAACTTCTTCTACAAGCCCTTAAAGGGATAGTTCTGATTTTTCTAAGTGGGGTTGTATCCACAGTCACTGTATTAGCCTACACATAATAGATGTGTAAGAGAAGCAGGCAGGAAACAAAATGTATTTCAGCCACCTAAAAAATACTGTATTGAGAGTGCTTGCACTGCTTTACCATTTGGTCAAACAGCCCATTCTGACAGGGAAGCCATTAACAGATCTATTCATTCATCTCTGCTCTCCTCAAAGCCGGACCAGACTCCATTGAAAAAACAGTAATTTTAGCTCGCTGAACACAGGGGCTGCTTGTCTAGCAGTGCTTCTAGTTTCTGTTAGGTATTGAGTCTGTTGAATCAAAACTAACCCTGTTAAACACCAAAGTCACACAATAATACAAATAAGCTAACTGATGGAGGCAGCGGTACAACAGCAGCTCCTGTTTTCAGTGACGTTAAATCACTGTTTTTCTCAATGGAATCTGGTTTTGAAGAGAGCAATATAACCGCTTCACTTTTCCATTGGAAATCCCTGTCTGACATTAAAGTAAAGTGGTGAAAATATCCTAAATATAACGTAGACTTGAACAGATATTACTTTGGTTTTTTGCTGACCCTTCCTTCTATGTCAGATTCCAGAGTGCCTGTCCAAACTGGGGGTGTGTGGACTGACATCTACTGTGTCTAACACACTGACTATGGATAAGTACCCAATACAACCCCACTTCAAAAAATCTGGACTATCCCTTTAAAGGTTCCTCTGGTTTGCTTTATGCTGATAACAAAGTTGCATTTGATCAAACTGTCCCTGAAGGGGTCTTGACAGATTGGAAAGAAATAGTAGGAGTAACAGACGTGTAACAGATGTCCCTGCAGACATCTGTAAAAGTATGTAAATTTAGTGTACCTTCTCCCCTCCATGCCTCAAAGAGCCTCTTCTAAAACTCTCCATCATAAACTTACCTGTCGGTCTGGATCCCAGCTGAAGACGTGGATGAAAGTGTCCGGACACTCATTCGCTGGATGGTCTTCTCTTCTTCGCTGCTCTGTACATTTATTAAAACACTCTTAAAGTTAAGCCGAGCGCTACTTATAGACAAATATGGCAGACATAAACGACTCTCTGACAGCTGTTAGCTGGAAAAAGTTACTCTGAGTAAACCTCCAGTCGGGACACAGTCTCTGCCTCTCTGTGCTGAATGAAGACATCAGCATGTGGACTGCTGATCACACAGTGCTAACATTTGGCGAGTCCTGCTGGACAAAGAAGGGTACTACAACTTTGTACCTAGGCGATTAACCTAATGCATTTTTTTTTATCTCCTGTAAAAAAACAACAACACACAAAATAAGAATCCTTACAATATTTAAAAAAAAAACTTCATCTATCAAAAAGGAAAATTTATTTTAATTTTGAATGATACTAATCACAAGCTTATAACCCATCTAATCATGTTCACCAGCCAAGCCCGTTGCCTTATTAACAGGGGTGTGTCTAGGATTTGAGGCCATTGGGGGCTTAACCCGGACCTCTGTAGGGGGAAATATTTTTTGATCAACACGGTCTATTATGCTGTTTTCTACAGAAGCGTATTGCTGCCACACCAGGATAAAAAGAATGGGTCAGTATTACGTTATAACGTGAAAAGTTTATTGTTCTAACAAGAAGTTTTTCACGTTATAACTTGATCATTTCTATTGTAAGAATGTGAAAAGTTTCATGTTATAAGGTGACAATTTATATTGTTAGGACATTAAAAGTTCCACATTATAATGCAGTATTTGGTCGCAGGAGGAGGTTGTGATTTGACACTTGGCTATTTGCAATGAACAGGCACCAACATGGCCCAAAACACGGATAACATGAAATTATATTGTTATAACGTGAAAAACGTCTTGTTAGAACAATAAACTTTTCACGTTATAACGTAATACTGATCCATTATTTTTTCCCTGATGTGGCAGCAATACACTTCCGTAGTTTTCTTACGCACTCTGGCACCTTATTTACTAAGGGTGGGGGGAAAAAATCAACAGAGATATTTTGGATGGCAATATTGTGTCGAAACATGGACGCCAAGTATCTTCTTTTTTTAATTAAATAAATTATTAATATTGCAAATACAAATTAAATGGTTGGTAGCCTGCTAGCATGATAAAAATCAGTTGCTTTCTCAGTCCACCAGATACATGTTGCTGCACTGTAAAAATAATTGCGGTGATATGAATAGACTAAAGAATAAGAAAAGAAGATACTTCATTAATCCCTGAGGGGAAATTTTTATTTTCACTCTGCTGTCATATACACACAGGCACGAAATACACACACATTCACAAACTATCTTATTAGATAATAAATGACATTGATAAAGTTGTTCCTTAATTTACAGTCCATAAAAAGGTAACAAATTGCAATCTATTGTAATATATGTTATCACAATACTCAGCATATCGCAAAATATTTAAAATTGCAATAAAATTGTATCTTGACCTAAGTATCGTGATAATATAGTATCAGGTCGGGACAACTATTTACCTTTTTTGTAACCTGCTCAGTGGATGTGATGCCATACCATATCAGTGGGTTTCTGTGAGAGGGATGCAGGACGTTTTTGGTAATAAATGCAGCATCAAATCACTGAATCTGGATGGACAAGATACAATTCCTGCTTTTAACCTTTTATTCTTTAACTCCGGTGTGGTACTTTAATTTAAAATACAAAAATAGATAGATAAAGAAATGAAAAAGATTACTTTGGCCTGATATATTTTCTTTGAACATCCACTGGTTTGTACTAATTTAATAGGCATTAACGCTGAATTTCTTTATTGTAAATAAACCAGGTAGGGATACATTTAGTTTATACTAATTAAACCAAATGATGTAAAGTAAATTAAATTGGAAACACTGGTAGTGATGTAAGAAATTATTATATTATCCTGTCTCTTTTTTCCTGGGCTGTCTGTATTACCTCATATTTTATCTGTTTTTCTTTATTGACGTTTATCTCAAATTTTGTATGTATTAATACAATATTCTGTATGTATTCCTTCATATTTTGTCTGTTTTTCTTGACTGAATTTTAGGTCAATGCTTTTTTAATGTACATTTTAATTTTTATACTTTACCAATGCACATTTCTCCCCCATGAAGTAACGATGATGAAACTGATGTCTGGTTTTGGTTCTTTTGTTTGACCACTGCTCTAAATAAAGTTTTTAAAATATATATATATATATAATATTTTAGGGAGATAAAACAACACTGTGAATGTAAAGCTTTAATGTTTTAAATAATGGGGACGCCTGTTTAGCAAAGAGGTTTGAAAAAAAGGAGGTAAAGATGTTAAATTGTTTTTAGCTGCGTTTGATTGAATGTTGCGGTAGATGGCGCTGTAGCCCACGTTGACTTAAAGTTCGACCTTAAATGATCGTCGAAGAAGAAGCACACGTGTTCCCTGTGTTTTCTCATCAGTCTCAGTGGTGAGGAGGTCGTCTCGTAATTAAACTGTGTTTAGCCAGTGAATGTCGTAAAAATGGTGCGTAAATTAAAGCACCATGAGCAGAAGTTGTTGAAGAAGGTTGAATTCATTAACTGGGAGGTGGACAACAACCTGCACGAGGTCAAAGTACTGCGGAAGTATCACATCGAAAAGAGGGAGGACTACACCAAGTAAGAAACACAACGGCTCTGTGGATGTAGTCCTGGCTACAGTACACTTTGCTTACCTTGTTTTTGCCTTAAATTTACCCAATGTACGATTAAAAACGTCAAGTGTGTATATTTTGAGTTTAAGGGAATATTTAAAGCACAAAACGATTATGGGCGTATCAACTGCTCGCCCTGTGTTGCGTTTAATCCACGAAGAAAACCGTATTTTCCCACATGCCTCCACGATGAACGGGGAATCCAAAAACCGACCAAATAATTGAGGAATTGAAGTCATAGGAGACCACGTTTAAACTTTATCAAAAACATCTCTAAATATGTTATCCAAGTCTCATTTATTCAGTTGTATGCTCACTACATCCCAGACAGCTGAAATGTATCCATGCTCCCTTCAAAGCCAGACTCCATTTATAGTTATAGTAATTTTATATTTTATAGTGACTTTGGTGAATCCAAACTAACCCTTTAAAACACCAAAGGCACAATTGTGGGCGTGACATTGAGTTAAAGAGAAATGTAAGAAGCTCTCTGCACTCTTGACAGTTGAGTCCCCAGCTCTAGCTCTGACCATTCCTGAAAAGGGAATTTTTATCAAGCTTCAAACAAGTCTAAAATGCTCCTTATCTTTTGTACATTCTCAGTTGTAGTCAACTTTCTCATTCCATTCCAACTTTTGGGAATATTTAAAGTTGGAGTTTCTATGTGAATGTATGAGTGAAGAAATAGGCTTTTACGTGTTTGAAAAACGTTGAATTTGAATATTCTTCTGCTCATTTGAATGATGAGAATTTCTTGGAAAACGGTGAATATTTCAGAAAGTTATGAAGATATGAATGAAACAACACAAGCACACATATCCCAATTTAGCTGGGTATTTTGAGGTTTGAATGATATGTTGAAAAATGTGGAGGGAGTAGGGTGACAAAAAGTGGGCCGAATTTTTGTGTAGAATAACATACGGTGGGAATGCAACAAACTGATGGAGGCAGTCGTAGACCAGCAGCTCCTGTGTTCAGCGAGGTTAAATTACTGTTTTTGTCAATGGAGTCTGGCTTAGGAGGGAGCATAGATAAGTTTCTCTTTCCGATGAGTTCCGTGTTGAAAAGGGTCTGTCTGGGAAGTACTGAGCATACAACTGGATATACAAAACTTGGATTATACTGCATGAGTTGTGTGAGAGTTTGTAAACAGATGGTTTGATGTTGTTAAACATGGTCACCTATGACTTCTAGACATTAAGAATTTTATGTTTTCTGGATTCTTCGTTCATTGTGGAGACAAGGTTTTCTTCTCAAATTCAACATGACATAGGGTGAGTAAGTGTGGGAGTCAAAAGGTGACTTCTGAAATAGTTAGATTAACATTTAAATCAAAAATATTTCTCATCTTATTTCACAGTACAGCTAAAGTTTCACTACCTAAAATTGCCAAATAATAGATACCAGAGCTTAAAGCCTGAAGATTGTTATAAACTTTGTGTCAGAATTTTTAAACCTTTATAATAATTATATAACTTGAATGAACCAAATTATGTCAAATTCTACTTGTTTTAAGGTTATTAACTGACCAGAACAAATATAGACATACAATACCAAATTCATTTTTTAGTAATCATGTTTCTCTCTCAGGTACAACAAGCTGAGTCGAAACATCAGAGATCTTGCCCAGAAAATCAGAGACCTGGATGAGAAAGATGGCTTCAGAGCTCAGAGCACACACCGACTGCTGGAAAAACTGTGAGTTTCTCCGTATGATGTTGTTTGCTTTGATAGAGTCATCTAATAACTTTCAGTCAACACCTGGGGCCTGTGTCACTAAGCGAGATATGTGAGTTATCCTGCTCCGTTTGGGCTTAAAGGGACCGGTCACCCCCAAATCAAGATTCAAGATTACATACATTTCCTCTTACATGTATTTATCAATCTAGATTGTTTTACTGTGAGCTGCTGAGTGTTGGAGATATCAGCTGTAGAGATGTCTGCCTTCTCTCGAATATAATGGAACTAGATGGCACTCAGCTTGTGGTGTAACTACTCATGGACGAGAAGCTCGTGCTTGTGACAGCGTGACATGTAAACATTAATTGCCGTCCTCCTCGGCTGAGCTGTAACATTAGCTAGCTCACTGGTGCCAGTGAGCGAGCCGTAGATGCTCACTTCCTTTACAGTGTAGGTGATGACCTTGTTTAAACTGTTGTTGTTATCCTGACGTGACTTTAGCCAAAGGGCCTACATGACTTCAGTCGTGGTTTGGTGGAGTTCTGGCTCAATTTGGGAGAATCAGTTGTTCTCTGAGCCAGGTTTTTGAATGGCAGGAAATAACACTTGGAAAGTACCAACAGTACCAACAATGCTTGTTTGTCACACACTATGAATTGTCATGATGTATCAAGTCTTTGGCTTTTTCTCTTGAGATTAAATGACCCTCAGTTGTGCAACTCTTTGTCTGAGCCTCTCTTGTTTTAAGTCTTGTTTATGCTACATCACCTTCTGCACGGTGATACGGTTGGTGGGTGTAGTTTGGTAGAAAGAAAATAGTTCCTACATGAAACTGCTCACAACAAGGTCTGTGGATTATCTTGAGTAACTGCGTCATGATTTCTGGAAAGAGACATTGCTGTTGAGTTTTTATTAATACCCCTGCATTTCCACGGGGGTATCACCTTTTCATCCTCTGTCACATTAAGTACATCAGGACAAGTTAAAAGGAGGAGTTAAAAGATAAAGATGACAACAATTTTCATGACACAGGCTCCTCCGTACTGACACGCAGTAGTGTTTGTTGTCCTTTGTGGTTTTGGACACTCTTATTTATCTGTTTAAAATCACATCACACTGATAATCTTATTGTTTCTTCACATAAGGTACAGTATCGGCCTCTTGCCCACCAAACAGAATCTGTCCCTCACAGAGAAAGTCACAGCTTCTTCATTCTGCAGGTAAATCACCCTAAAAACATGTTATACTCTAATTATGTGATCATATATCACCAGTCTGTCGTTCGCTTCACCTGTGTGACTCCTGCAGGAGGAGGCTGCCCAGCATCATGCTGAACCTCCGTATGGCTCAGAACCTGAAGACAGCCATCACCTTCATCGAACAAGGACGTATCCCTCAGCACTGCATTACTGCAAGAGTTTATGTTCTGGTAGTGAAGTTTTATGTCTTGAATTTCCTCTGAGAGATTGGTGTGTTTTGTCTCCGCCCAAGCGTTCAAAGTGTTTTGCAGTTTTGACCTTGACTCAGTCTCAGATGTGCGCGTCGGCCCAGACATCGTCACAGACCCAGCGTTTCTCGTCACAAGGTCAGTGTCCACATTTTGTTTTGTCCTGAACCACCATTTAATGCAGCATTTCACACAAACTGTCCCATTCTGCAGACAATGAAATTAATATTGACGTTATTATTGTGACTTTTTTTTCCAGAAATATGGAAGATTTTGTCACATGGGTGGACTCCTCCAAGATCAAGCAGCATGTCATGAATTATAATGATGAGGTGAGTTTTCAGGAGCCGCTCACATATCTGCTGTAACAGGGTGGACGCGTGTCCTTGAAATGCCTTGCCACACATTTAAAGTGGTATTAAAAAGGACTTAAATTGTTTATAGCTGTACACACACTGCGTAACTGTTTAGTTTCAATGCAAATGACCATCTTGTGTTTGAATCAGAGTCATGAATCTACAAGTGTCACTGATGATTTTTCTGGACTAAAGTCTGATGCTGATTAAAACAACCGCTGTGTTTCTTTTGCAGAGAGACGACTTTGATCTGATGGCATAAGCCTGTTGTCTAACATCCATTCATCACCCTGGAGGACAAGAAAGGGACGAGAACTCTGCTCTTGTAATGGTGCCGTGAAAAACTCTACAACCCAGAAGTCAACAACAACAACAGGAAGTCGAGTTTCCTCGGAGCAGGGGCGGCAGGAGCGCACTTCCAGGCTTTACATTGTTCACCTCTCTTTTGATATCGTCGACATCTGCAACTAAAATCTGATCTATCGACAGTTAACCATCTGAGACTGTATTTATGCCTGTCAGTATCACGTGCTCCTCCACAGACTCTCAGTGGTTTCACTCCAACACTGATCGTCCACTCTCTGGTTGTACAGAGCAGCTTCCAGAGGTGTGTAGATGATTGCTCCTTCTCCTGTACGTCCACATTGTTTACTCTGCATGTTCTTTGTGTGAACATGAGCTGGATTCACAGGGTGTGTATGTACAGAATGTGACTGTCACTGTGTGTTCATGATATTATAGGTATACTGTGCAGGAATTGTTGGTTAGTCAGCCCCATCCTCTCCTTCAGTGCTCGCCAGACAAAATGAAAGCCAAGCCCAGTGAAATCCTGCATGGTATACCTTTAACATAACTTGTGTCAGAAATACAGCTGTGAATCAGAAACGACAATTTGATAAATATTTAATATTTTCACTAAGACATTGTCACAATGTAAACTTTTTGACCAATAAACATTCTTTTGTCACAGTATTAAGACTTTAAACAAAACCTGCAGATTCATACATGGTTTCTCTTTAATGCTCAAACTCTGAAAGAAACCCCTATACCAGGTTAGACATGTTAACTATCAACACATTGCTCTAAATATTCCAGTTAGCAGATGTACTTGAACTCACCATGAAGCATTTCTATACACAGATGAGTCCCATCACAGACCTATGGCTCAGTTTATACTGTATATATGGCACAAGTCAAAGCTGGATAAAGCACAGAAAAGGATTTCTACCTTCAGTAGGGACTGATGATCCCTTTAAGGCACCCTGGTATAGAACAACTGTAACAGGATCAGTGTAGATGCATTTTCACCCTCTCCCATATGTCAGAGTCCTTTGAGAGTCCATCAGAGCCACCAGAAACGCACATAAACGACGAGTGTGATGAAGAACACTGCCACAGCAGCCACCTTAGCGTATGTGGAGCGGGTGTTGAGGTCTTTGGCATCGCTACGGTACTTCTTCGACAGGCTGGACAGATTGCTTGCTTTTGTGTCGAGAGCTGAGGGGAATAAAAGTATCAAGATGAGATGAATGGGACACTTTCAAAGACAAAAACTGACTTTGAAGTACAATCGACATCTCTGACACACACACAGTAAAGTTAGATTTTCACAAAGGTAGTAGTGACAGCAAAGTTGTTACTGGTTTGGTTCTTGGTATTTTGTCCCTGGCTAAATTAGTTTTTTGTTCCTGTACTTACCAGAGAGAGATTCTCCTCTTTGCAGAACTTCCTCAATATTTGCCACCATAATTCTCTGGACGTCCTGTAGCTCTGTGTTAATACTGCTGAAGTTCCTCCTGGCCCTGCTGTCAATGTACGATTTCTTTGTCTTCTGGATGTATGTATCTGGAACAATGCATGTATGACATAATTTTAGTCAGATTTTATTATTTCTGCAGAAGGTAAAAATGTACCACATCACAAATAGTCTTACCAAACTCGATGAAAGAGTATGGTCTCGTCACTGTGGGCACTCTCCGTCCATACTGATCATAGAACTCACTGTGGAGGTCTTCAAGGTATGCAAAAACCATCTTTTTGGGGAAGGAAGCCTCACAGAGGAACAAGTAGCATACACCCTGTGCTATTACATAGCTGAGAACGAAAAATACAAGTTCAGTCTAACTCAGTGGTTATTTTATGAGTTTGATGCCTGGTATCAAACTAAATCTCACCAAACTAACTGCACAACATCACAGAAGCAACGCGAATTTTCCTTTTGGTGCTAGTTGTAACTTACTGGAAGTTCATGTCCCCGGCCTCCAGGGTACAGCGCTCCGGGCTTTGAGCATTCAGTTTACGGAAGAGCTGCTTGGCCTGGCTCTGGTACTGCTGGAGGTCTCTTCCTGACTGACAAAGCAAAAAAAAAATAGGTAAGTAAACATGAACAACACTCACAAATCCAAAAACTAGAGTGCTAAAACTCAAACTTGTGATGTCAGAGGGTTTAAAGACCGGAGCTGCTCCACAGACAATGAATGGTGAAAGATGTTATAGGTGACATTCAGAGCAGCCAGGGGAATGTTCTGAGTATATGGGTACATTTTCTGTTTCAGAACTGAGATCACTACATTAGAATAAAGCTCATTTGAGTATAAAAAAAACAAACATTCTGTAGGCTAACAAAATCAGGCTCCAACTAATATGTGGTGCAGCTCCAGACTTTATACAAGGGATGCACAACATGCCGATATGTTACAACTCGTGTAAATGATATCAATATATCCACTTTTCACCACCTAATTTTAGTGATCATCAGGTCTCTTCTGTAGTGGAATTAACATCATATTATGCATGCATTCTCTTATTGTGATGGCCCACCAGCAGATGGAGACATGAAATACAATGATTTTCAATGTATGTAATATTTAGTCATTGTGCAAATTAAGAAAAATGTGTTCTGATAGTTCATTGTAAAGAGATACTGGCCCATACCGATGACATGCCAGTATTATCAGCATGTTGGCCGATTCCGATATTTTATTTTACAGCCAATATCGGTCGATATTATTGTGCATCCTACTTTATACCTCGATGTCACAAGTTTGAGACTGGTTTCTGGCTTTGAGGGAGTAGCTCATATTCGCAAATATTAAATGAACTTTCCAAGGGATAGAAATAACATAGTGGAATTATTAATTTAGATGGCGCCCCCCTTTAATATATTTGACAGGTTAATGTGAAAGTCATGCTTATTGGTAGACGGAGCTAATATTCAATGTTAAACCTCAAACCTTTTACGAAGAATTGACCAATTTTTCTGCATTAAATATATGTTCATTTTAGCTAAATTTTGAATAAGCTGTTTTATTTCCACATTTTTTCAGTAAAATGATTTACACAGTGATGGGCTGCAGAAATGTTAACTTAGCTACGTATGTTAACGTTATGTTTTTAAGTTATAGTGTTATTAAATAAATTGCTGCTTCGTGGATTACCTACCGTATTTATATACCGAATTTCCAATTCACTATTAAAAATCAAAATTAAGTCTTTAAGCTTGTTTTTGGGAGGTCTACGCCTTGGCGGATAAGCTAGCAGTCTTAAATATGACATTTTTTGAATAGGGTTTGGCGTGTAGTGCTCCTCATATAGAGGGGTTATATGGGGAAGCTAGCTTTCATTCATACCTGTTCATCCTCCTGTATCGACGCAGCGAGCGGAAGTCCGTCCGACACACGAGCGATCATCGTTAGTGAAGTCATGTCGATGCAGGTCAACAATCGGCGGCGTTAGCTGTCGGGTTTTGTCGCAGGGAGTCAACTTTAAAAACTTTGAATGTTTCTATGCTGTCAACTTTGATGATGCGGAAAGAACGAGCAGACCGGAAGTTCCTGGTGCGCCGCCGAAATATGCCCGAGTGGCAACTGATGAAACTTCGTCGTCAAATTTCCATCGCTTAAAAAGGTAAGATGGTGTGTCTTGCGCCGTAAATAACAGCGAGTCCTCAACAAATATATAAAATTCAATTCTTATTTTACTTGTTTATTTATTTGCTAACCGTTTGGCGCCATGTTATGACTTTAACAGAGTATGAGGCCATGAGCTCCGACCAGACAGCTGGCAGACGGACTGACTGCATCTCCACTGCTGATGCCTGTATTGAGCCGAGAGGTGCAGATGATGCGGTCTGTCTGGGTCCTCCGTCTGGAGTGAAGCCTCTCTGAACTACAACCAGAGGAACCATGGACAAACCAGGGAGGTAATTCTGCCCTATCGGTGCATGTTTATTTTGCAATCTATTGTTTGTTTGGATCCGTATTTGCCATATCGTGTCGGCGCTTCCTGCTGGCCGTGCAATGGCTGCTCTTTTCGCACCTTCTATTGTTATTATTTGTTTAAGGAATCCCGATCGTTACCCCCGCTCTGTGATGTTGTGAAATGACACGATGGTTGACATTTTGCAGGTTAAAGCGAATGCATATCTCGTTCATTATTTGCTTGCCTATAATACCGTGAGATACCCCAGTGATGCACTGTCTATGTGCTGCAGCTTGTATCAATATAAATGCATAAATGTAGTGAGGATGATGATGATGATGATGATGTGTGCGGAGCAGCTGACTCTGCAGCTGCACTCAGCTGTGCGGTCAGCGCGTTTAGGATCAGCCATATGGAGATCAATCACCCTGCATATTCCAGAGCTTAAATGCACAACACCATTTGTGATTTGGTCAAACGCTCCGTCATGTTTGCCACAGTGCTGCGGGTTTTACAAGCCGATATAACGATAGAGATGGGCGCACTTGTGCGGCGGCCACAGTTTAATCCTCTGAGCGCCACAGAAACCCCCCATTCACTAATAGAAATGACCCGTCTGCTTGGCACGGTGGCATCTTGACAGCTTGAAAGGCCTTATTGTTGCGGTGCAGCTGGCACCGCCGTGCGCACGTTCTGATTGGTGCTTTCCCAGACCGGCGTGTGCATGATTCACAGCCCGACTGCACCGTCTATCTTACTGTCTTTTCATGAATAAATAGGGATGCCCGCGTCTTTTAACTCTAGGGTGGGGCGCTTCATGACTAATTGATTATGAAAAATGAGTGATTCCCAAGCTGGAGTTCAGGGGAATTCTTCCTCTGTGAAATAAAGATCTGTTTACTGTTATTTCCTTTAAGAGGTAAGCCCTTTCAGTAATGATAATTACAGGGGCCACACTCTCAAATGGATGTCTCTAAGGAGAGATGCTCCTCAGATGATTTCCCCAGAGACAGACCTTAATCAAGAGGCTTGTCAGTGATCTGAGGCTCACAAAATAACTTCCTGAACTCACATATCTCACCATACTGTGTCACGACCTCAGGTGTGCCTGTAATGCTCAGGGGTGAGGAGGAGAGCAGCTGAGGAGGAGGAGATGGGCTGCACCTCTGCCAAGCAGGTGTCAGCCGTGCCCAACGGTGAGGAGGGCCAGAATAAAGCCTACAGCAATGGGGACCTTCTCTCTGGTCAGTCTGTTTACTGCACACATTTTCCCATGCACCTCTATGTTTAGGTGCTATTCTGCTCTCTTAATATCCTTGTTTTAGTTCTGGTTGAGACTGGACTTTTGATAGATATGAAATATTTGCCACAATTCATCAGTGTTATTCATTGTTGACATGGAAGTTTATTTGTAAAACTTCTTGCAATGCCTGGATTTTTAAAGGTTAGGCAACATTATGTTTATATGAGTATTTAAAAAAAAGTCCACTGTGTAGAAGAAACATTTATTTTTCTTGAAAATTGTTAGCAATATTGAATAGTGATCCAGATGCTCTCAGATAATGATGGAACTGTTGATTAGTGCTTTATTAAAGGCAGGTGTGCATGAAAGGTCAGTTAGAGCTATATAAGGTGCTACCATTGTTTTTAAATTGAATCTTTTCTAGGGGTGCTACTAACAATGAATTTTATCATCAGTTAATGCAGCAGTAATGTTGTGCTAATTGTTTGGCCCATGAAATGCTTTTAAAAATGTCACAGTTTTTCAAAGCCAAAAATGTAAATCTCCAAATGTGTTGTTTATCTGAACAAGAGTCTAAATCCTCAAGATATTCAATTTAGTATTATGTAAGAAAACAGCGACAGATTCTCACACTTGACAAGCTTGTAATTGTGTGGTATTTTTGCCTGAAAAGGAACTCAAAATGTCGCCTCACAATAAGAGGATCACCGGTTCGGGTAGGGGAGCCCCTCTGTGCAGAGGTTGCATGTTCTCCCCGTGTCTGTGTGGTTTTCTCTGGGTACTCCAGCTTCCTCCCACAGTCCAAAGACATGCAGGTTAATTGGTGACTCTAAATTGTCCGTAGGTGTGAATATGAGTGTGAATGGTTGTCTGTCTCTATGTGTCAGCCCTGTGATAGTCTGGCAACTTGTCCAGGGTGTACCCTGCTTCTCACCCAATGTCAGCTGGGATAGGCTCCAGCCCCTCCGTGATCCCCAACAGGATAAGCGGCTACGGAAAATGAATGACTGAAATACAAGTAAAGAAAGTACAAAAATAGCTGCAGGTATGAGTAAGCCTTAGTCACTGCTGGGATGTAAAAGAATAACTCATATTGCTCTGTAAACAGAATGAGTATTTTCATAGGTTTCATCTCAAGTTTTTTAATATAAACTGGAGGTCAGATGGGACAGAAAAGTTGTGCTTTAAAAAAAAAAAGATAATAATGATAATAGAAGAACACTGTGTAAATGCAAACTTAAAGGGACAGATCCCCGCAACCACATAGTTTTCCTCTTACCTGTAGTGCTATTCATCAGTCATCAGTCTTCATCAGACTTTGTTTGGTGTGAGATGCAGAGTGTTGGAGATATCAGCCGTAGAGATGTCTGTCTTCTCTCCAACTAGATGGCACTCGACTAGTGGTGCTCAAAGTGCCAAGAAATAATACACCAGCAATGTCTCTTTCCAGAAATCATGATCCGGTTACTCAAGATAATCCACAGACCTTGTTGTGAGCAGTTTCATGTAGGAACTATTTTCTTTCTTCCGAACTACACCCACCAACCGTATCATGGCACAGAGGGAAGCGTGCATCAACTGCTAGCTCACCTAGCACCACTGAGCAAGTTAACGTTACAGCTCAGCCGAAGAGGACGCCATTACATCTCACACTGTCATGAGTGCAAGCCTCTTGTCCATGAGCAGATGCACGCTTTCCTCAGATGTAGTTTGGTAGAAAGAACATAGTTCCGACATGAAACTGCTCACAACAAGGTGTGTGGATTATCTTTGAGGTTATGAGTTAAGTTGTGATTTCTGGAAAGAGAAATAACTGTCTGTGAACTTCAATAATAACTTGCACCCCATTAAAGGGCTAGTTTGGTATTTTTGAAGTAGGGTTGTTTGAGTTACTTATCCAGAGTCAGTGTATTACATACAGTAGAGGTCAGTCAATGCACCCTCAGTTTGGAGAAGCAGCAAAATGTATTTTAGCTTTCTAAAAAAATCACTATCAGTTAAGGTTTATGCCACATTTAGAATATTTTCAGCACTTGACCTTGCTGTCACTGAAGCTGTTACATATGCTCTCTTCAAAGCCAGACTCCTGCAGAAACAGTGGTTTCAGCTCACAGAACACCGGAGCTACCTCAAATTCATATCTACTGGAGGTTATACACTTGACATGGATAAAGACCTCATACAACCCCACTGTAAAAAATCATAACTATCCCTTTAATCTGATGAGTTGTGAGTGCATGAGTCCATCTGGCCTTCATTACTATGCATCGCAACTGTATTTTCATTTCCTCCATTCTACATGCGTGGGAGTGAGATGGAGGAGGGGGCTGTGCATGTGCGAGAGAAAAGATGGAGAGGCAGAGAAAAGAAGAGAATCGGGCTGACAGCTCATGTGTTCGCGGCTCGCCAACCATTGTTAAGAGAGGATTTAGTCCAGAGCGTGAGAACTCAAGCACATAATTACTTTGCCAAGTACTGAACTGTGAGAACTATTAACCCAGAGGATTGTGCTGATCAGGGTGGCTGTGTGTGTCGTCCTCTGCTGTCGCGTATTAATAAGAGGAGATGTGCTCCCCCCTTTCTCTCTGTCTCCCACTCTGTCACAGATGAGTACAAGATGAAAGGGGTGGAGAAAGTCAAGTACATCAGTGGAGACGAGGGAGGAGTGGACGGACAGGACAGCACAGTGCGTGGCTCTATTTTACTCTTTGTATTCTATTTGTCATCTGTAATGGGACATTTACTGTATATTATGATAGCTTCTGTTTATCTGTAAAAATAGTCAATTTGTTGTCAAAATATGTCAAGACGTAAACTTTGTAATTAGACGTGTTTGCCTTATTATATAAGGCAACTGTAGAGTTCTCAGCCCAGTCGCCAGAGGAAATTGTTCCCATTATACTTTTCTGTAAACCACAAAAAGATTACATTTGCACATTTCACAAGTATCATATCATCGTTTCTAAAGTGATGTAGTTTATAAGCTGACTTTGTCATCTGGAGTTGAAGGGGATGGATGGGGTGTCACCCAGGGGAGATGCCTGCCAAGCTGCAGAGCATTGCAGGCTACTGATGGAGAGCAACAAACAACAAAACCTGTAGTGATTTAGCAAGTCATTGCTGTTTTCCAACAGCTTTTTAGGCTCTAAATGTGGGTGTTTTGTAGCGAACCATTGCTGTGTATCCTGCAGCTCTTTAGGCTCCAAACGTGGGTGTTATTTAGCAACCCGTTGCTATGTTTCCTGTATTTCTTAAGGTTCTAAATGTGGGTGTTTTGTAGTGACCCATTGCTGTGTTTCCTGTAGCTTTTCAGGCTCCTGACGGTGGTGTTATGTAGCAACCCGTCACTGTGTTTGTTGTGGCTCTCGAGGCTCTAAACATGGGTGTTTTGTAGCAACCCATCACTGTGTTTGTTGTGGCTCTTGCGGCTCTAAACATGGGTGTTTTGTAGCAACCAGTCACTGTTTTCCCCATGGCTTTTGAGGCTCTAAATATGGGTGTTTTATAGAGACCCATCGCTGTGTTTCCAACAGCTTTTCAGGCTCCTGACAGTTGGTTATGTAGCAACCCCTCCCTGTGTTTGTTATGGCTCTAAACATGGGTGTTTTGTAGCAACCAGTCACTGTGTTTCCTGCCACTTTTAAGGCTCTTAACATGGGTGTTTTGTAGCAACCTGTCACTGTGATCCCTGCAGCTTTTTAGGCTCTAAATGTGGGTGTTTTGTAGCAACCCATCACTGTGTTTGTTGCAGCTGTTCAGGCTCTAAATATAGGTGTTTTGTGGTGACCTTTTGCTGTGTTTCCTCCAGCTTTTTAGGCTCCAAACCTTGGTGTTTTGTAGCAATCCATCACTGTTTTCCCCATGGCTTTTGAGGCTCTAAATATGGGTGTTTTGTAGAGACCCATCGCTGTGTTTCCGACAGCTTTTCAGGCTCCTGACAGTGGTGTTATGTAGCAACCCCTCCCTGTGTTTGTTGTGGCTCCTAAGGCTCTAAACATGGGTGTTTTGTAGCAACCCGTCACTGTGTTTTCTGCAACTCTTTAGGCTCTAAGCATGGGTCTTTTGTGGTGACCTTTCGCAGTGTTTTCACCAGCTTTTTAGGCTCCAAACCTGGGTGTTCTGTAGCAATCCATCACTGTTTTCCCTGTGGCTTTTGGGGCTTTAAATGTGGGTGTTTTGTGGAAAACTGTCACGGTTTTTCCAGTGGGGGTTGTGCCATGAAAGGTGGTTGTTTTTTCAGAGACTTTGCTGTGTTTTCTGCCATAATAGTGGCACGAAACTGTTTTTTTTTTGTTTGTTTTTTTTTAAACTAAGATACCATTGCATTTCCAGGATTGCGCCCCCAAAACCAGGTATGATCTTTTCCTAACCATAACCAAGAAACATAAAGTTTCAGTGTATCTGCTACATCATGCAGATGTGCAAATGTAACGTATCCTTGGTTTGCAGAAACTTACAATGACAACATTTTTCCTGCGGACTGGGCTGAGAATTTCTTAATTAATTGTTATTTTTATTTCATGCTGTGTTTTCCATTTGCCTGAATAATGGGACATGAGACCACTTTTGGATCAGATGGTTGATTGTGTGTGTGTGCTTGCTTGGATATCTTGCAGGAGAAAAGTGCTCTCCTCGGTAAAGGTCAACACATGGATGAAACAGGGTCAAACGGGAATGGAAAGATTCTGTAAGTGTCACTGATTGATGATGCTATTGTTGCTATCGCAGTAGCATTAACATGGATTTATGTGTCGTACATTGGTTGTGTGTTTGTCTATTTTGTTAGACATCATCTAAACTGTTCATCATGATGAGTTACATCGGAAGGCCTTAACCTGCTGTACTATTTTCCTTTGCAGGAGCATCCACTCCTCAGAGAGTCAGCAGGAATTCTTCAGGATGTTGGATGAGAAAATAGAAAAAGTAAGAAATTGGAGCACCACTTTTTGTCTCTGTAGCTTGTTTTGGGGATTTTTTTTGTAAAAAGCTCCTGCTAAATGACACAATGGAGGTTAATCCTATCACAGCAGCAAATCTGTAGCAAGTGAGGACACAACAGATGACATGATGATACCTAAAAAAAAAAAAAAAAAAAAAGCCTCAATCTGTCACGTCCTGTGCTTTTTACTGGTGTGGTTATTTAAAGTACGTATTGTTGAAAACAGGATTCACTGAGTGCTGCAGTGGTGGACAAAGTACACAACTATTATTATACATTGAATTTTGAATACATTTGCCATAGCATGATATATATCAATATTGTGATAATAAGAATATGAAATACACACTCATAGACAGACTGAAAATGTAATGCACACTTTTTTCTTTACAGGGCCGTGACTACTGCTCAGAGGAGGACGATATGACATAGCACTGTGGTCGTGTATCCGTCAGTCCCAATATCAAAAAACTTTCATGGCAGTGTTATGGATGGATCGTACCATGTGTTACCATGTAGAGGGGGACTGTCCCTCGTATGTACACGCCTGTGAAAAACAGATTACTGACTTGAATCAAGCACCTTTTTGCGCTCCTGCTCACAACCTCAGTTCATGTTCATATATCAACCAAGAGAGAAATGACCCCAAATCAAAGATGGTTTAGTATTTTTATTCCTTAATGAAGCCATTACAGGATGCCAGAGATGTTGGGATTTAAAACACACCTGCTTTTCTTTCCCTCCTTGGATATAAGTCATGGAACATGGCCGTCACTGAGACTTCCTATAGACATTTGAAACTGTTGCACATATAAATCAACAGCAGAAGCAACCCGCGCTCTCGTGGACACTCAGAGCGAAAATAATGTCTCTATCTGCATCATTTTGAATATTTCGTCCTTGAATGCCTCCCTGAGAAGTCAACAGTTTTGAAACTTCCTGCATTCCAAGACACAGTATGAACCTCTTTTTTACAGTACGTCGACCAGTACGGTGTGTTTGTCTGTCCATGTCTGTTTCTGCGATGATGTAGAGTATTTATGTTGAATAAGGCTCAGGGTTGAAGTGTTGTAATCTCTGTCTCATGTAGTCAAGTCCTTCCTACCATTAAGACACTGTTGCACCATTAAAAAGACACTCATGCACTCACACTGCAGGGTTACTGACGTCCCCTGTGTCAGTATCCGTCCCTACTAAAACCCCGCAGGGTGGACACAGCTACGTCACATAGAAGTCTGATTTCGCTCACCGGTGTTATGTTGTGTTCAGTTTCTATGTTGAATTTTTGTTTTTCTAGAAAAATAAAAAGTGTTTTCAGTAAGTTATCCACCCAGATGATGATGTGGTTTTACTTTGAAGAAAAGCCAACAGAACAACCTGCCAGGTGAATCATTTTGTCAACAATAATACTTATTACAGCTCAGACAGTTGTGATATTATTCAAATGAATACCCTATTACTGCATATTAAATATGCTCAACCATATACAGGGTTACCACATCTTTTTACCAATGAATTTTCAAAAAAAATTCCATCACTTTTCATAAAATTTTACCCCATTTCCATGACTTTACTTTAAATGGATTTGCCTATATAGTAATACAGCCATATGTTATTAAACACGCACTTCACAGGCATTCGTGAATGAGCAAACTGCTAGCGTTAGCTAACTTTACTTGCTCATTAGACATTCCTGCAGGTAAACAGCTGCGTACGACAACAGAGCAGACTGTCACATACAGGCACTTCGCAAAACGTCAAGGCCATGCCCCTTTTTGGGAACAGAAAACCAAAGATCCTGCAGATGTCGATGCAATTTGACATGTTTGGATTATAATTTTCACAAGTTTCTATACATTTATTTCTTGTTAAATAAACATTTCTTCTATAGACATGTCTAATACATGTTTTGCGACCTTGCCTTAACCTGAACGTTCAAGATACCTTAATAAATTAAGGTTGATCACAGTCATGTCCCGTCAAGTCTTCCTCGTCCAAGTGGATCAGAGACCCGAAAAGATGTGTGGCCTTGGCGATGATGCCAGTCTGGTGTGTGTCACATGATAGCACAAGGCAGCAAGCACTAGATTTTAATTTAGTAAGATATAAAACATTTCATGTCACATTAGACATGTTTTGGAATTTTTATGAACATAGTTTAAACAATAGTGAAAACAATGTTGATTCAAAACAACAAGTACCAGGAGCTGACACAGCAGTACAGGAGGCCGTGCTCGAACACCCGCTGTGAGCCTTTTTTTTTTTTTAAATTTTCAAATCCCAGTATCTGTATAAACTTAAAAAATCAAGTATCGGTCAGGCTCTAATAGTTACTTATCCAGAATATCATGTGGATTCCCTGGGATCCAACTCATCAGGTCCTGCTCAAAGACTTTGAGGAAGGCATGCGACCACAAACCGTGAGGTGTACAGCTGTGTGAGCACACTGTCCACGAATCTCTCTTTAAGGAGTCCGAAACCAAAAGCAAGTTTCTGTTTCTCACTGAGAGCACCATTTGCACCGGCTGCCATGCTCTCTTTTAGGAGCAGCTTACACAAACAGATGGACCAACTGACCGACTGTGTTTCACCGACAACACCAAGGTGTCCTCTCCCCAGCTAGTCAGTGCTTCTGCCGTCTCTTCCGGTGCTGCCGGCGTCCTAAATCCTGGAAGGGTCCAACAGGAGGGTCTGGCGTCACCAACCCGTCAGTCATCCTCTGGTAGACCAGGGTGGAGTCAGCAGCTACGGCACACAGCAACATAGGAAAGCCTCTGTCCAGCACGTGACGTATGCTGCACAGCAGAGAGGAGGAGGAGGTTGTGAGTTTGAGGAGACATCAACAGTCATTAAACCAAAAGAAGGAGGAGGGCAGAAACCTTCTCCAGCATCTCATTACCTTTTGTGGCTCAGAGATCGGTGAACAGGAAGTGGAAGAATCGTCTGGACAGGGGCTTCTTCCTTCTCCCTCGCTTCAAGCAAAACCATCTGCAGCTCAGGGCTCTTGACACAAGACACCTCCTTCCACTGACGCACTGCAGAGAGCAAGACACACAGAGCCTAACTGAGTCTATGGCCTCCTGCAGTGGGTACTTCAGACGTTATTACAGAGATGCAGGACCTTTTCCCGTTTAGAACATGTTTTTAACTTTTTCTTTGGCAGGCTAGACACAAGTAAAAACATTATAGGTTAGTATACACTCACTGGCCACTTTATTAGGTACACCTTGCTCCCTTACACCTTGCAGAACTCCCTTAATTCTTTGTGGCATAGATTCAACACAGTGCTGGAAACATTTCTCAGAGATTCTGGTCCATATTGACATAATATCATCACACAGCTGCTGCAGATTTGTCAGCTGCACATCCAAGATTGAGATCTGGTGACTGTGGAGGTCATTGGAGTACAGTGAACGTCATGTTCAAGAAACCAGTTTGAGATGATTTGAACTTTGTGACATGGTGCGTTATCCTGCTGGAAGTAGCCATCAGAAGATGGGTGCACTGTGGTCATAAAGGGATGGACACGGTCAGCAACAATACTCAGGTAGGCTGTGGTGTTTAAACCATGCTCAGTTGGTACTAAGGGGCCCAAAGTGTGCCAAGAAAATATCCCCCACACCATTACACCACCACCAGCAGCCTGAACCGTTGATACAAGGCAGGATGGATCCATGCTTTCATGTTGTTCACACCAAATTCTCGGACTATCCTCTAGAGATGGTTGTGTGTAAACCAACCAAGTCACCTAAATCACCTTTCTTCTCCATTCTGATGCTCAGTTTGAACTTCAGCAGCTTGTCTTGACCATGTCTACATGCCTAAATGCACTGAGTTGCTGCCATGTGATTGGCTGATTAGCTATTTGCCTTAACAAGCTGTACAGGTGTACCTAATAAAGTGGCCAGTAAGTGTAGTATATCAACTGGTCAGGATTAGACTTTAGTTAATCTTTTATTTTTTTCTTTAAAATGCCTCACTTGAATTGATCTTGTTATGTAAATCTGTGAGAATACATATGTGATGGCACCTTTATAATTCATACAGCTAATTTAATCACCCCCTGTCTCTGCATGATACACAAACAAATAAAAAAGTAATGGCTCCTGCTAAACTCTTTAACTTGTCAAACTCACCCTCAGTGAGATCCATGTACACGAGGAAAGCTGCGTGTAGCTGTTCACTGTCTTCAACCTCTAGACTCTTCATTTGCAGATACTAAAACAAGAAACAAACTCTGGTTACTGCATGATTTATCATCAGACCCGTGAACGCAGCACGGAGCTCCTCAAACACTCACCGCCGGATGCTGAAGGATCCAGTTCGGAGGTGGAGGTTTCTCTGCTCTGTGTGAAGCCTCCGACATTTTAATTAGTAAACCTTAACTCACTGTCTCATTAGCCACGGTCTAATGTCAGGACATATTGCTGCTGTCACGGCATGTGTGAGCTCTGTTTTCAGGTTTGCCGGCGTGCAGCAGTGTAATATGTCCGGGTGGAAACTGTTAGACATAATTGTTGTCAGCGGAAGCATGGCAGACCTCACACAGCAAATTAAACTAAGGTCAGAAAAAGCACAATAACACCAAACCATTGCTGAAGCATTCAATATCAAAAAATATTTTTTTTAATCCTTTTTAAGACCGTACATTTATATATATTACATTAGAAAAAATAGTTAAGGAAATACAAAAGATGAAAAATAAATAAATAATAATCTAAACCGTGGTTAAACATAAAAATGATTTAAAAAAAAAGAAGCATTTATAGCCATTCTAAAATTGTAAAAATGATTTGTATGTTTTACAACACCTTTTAATAATAATGATATTAATAATAATCCATTTTCAAAAATAAAAAAATATGAATTGTTGTTATACATAAACAAATAAGAGAGCAATTATAACAATTATAAAATAAGGTTATAAAAACATTATAAACTGTTTATATGTTTTACAACACCTTTTATTATTAATAATAATAATAATAATATGCATTCACAAATGATAAAAAAAAATATACAAAATTGTGGTTAGACAATTATATTTTTTAATTATAGCAATTATAAAATTTTAGAATAATATTAAAAAACATTATTCATTGTACCTTTTCATACTAAAAATAAAAATAAATTTACAAAAAATAAAACAAATGTAAAAATTAACATTTCATTTACAATTTACAATCAAATAAAAATAGCAATTTTACAAGTATAAAATAAGATTAAAAAACATTATTGTATAATAATAATAATAATAGTACTAGTGATAATACTTGTTTATTTGAATGTATAGATAAATGTGTAGTAACAATAGTAATGTATAACTTCTGATATCTATGTCGGTTGTCTTCAATCTCTTTTTCGTCTCTCTTCTCTCCTTCCCTCTGCCCCTGTTTCTGTGTGTGTGTGTGTTATCGTGTGTGTGAGAAACTATCTCTCTCTCTCTCCCTGACTTGCACCAGTCTGAGGCTACAGAGACATCAAGGTGCCCTGCTGGAATAATGCCTCTTGGATTTGTGGGATTCAGATTATATTTCATGATTTTAGCAGGAGAGTTTTTCCTGCATACGGACGGCACAGAGGAGCTGTCAGCTGATCGTCTCCTCCAACCGGCCCAGCAGGAGTCCTCTGTGCTGAAGCCCACAGTGCTGATCACCATCCTTGCCCGCAATGCACAGCACAGCCTCCCTTATTTCTTAGGATGCATTGAGAGACTGGACTATCCAAAGGACCGTGTCACCATCTGGTAAAATTACAGTAATTTCTTTATTGCATTTGATTAAAAACTGAGTTCATATTTCTGGAAAAAAGTTGGAAAACTTGCCCTTGCTGTCAAATTTGCTTCATGGAAGATTTTGACCAACTTTTGGGCATTTTAACAGCACTGTGTAAATGTCATTCCTCACATACTACAACACTGTTCATCATCAAACAAGTCATTCTCAGACAAGTGAGAAAGAAAGAAAGAGAGCTGAAAACAAAGAGATGAAGTCAGTGTTCAGAACTGTTCCTTGTGACCTCAGGGCGTCCTCTGACCACAGTGTGGACAACAGCACAGCCATGCTTCACGAGTGGCTCAGAGGAGTTCAACACCTTTACCACTCAGTGGAGTGGAGGCCTGCAGAGCAACCGAGGTGCATAAACTTTGTCTCTGAGGCAGCAGCTCCATTTATTATCAGCCATCCTATATATTTAACAGCGTGGTGGTAAATCTGATATCCTCTGATCCTATAATATTCATATCATTAGTCTGTCCCTCTTTCTTTCAGCTCTTATGCAGATGAGCAGGGTCCCAAACACTGGCCTGACTCTCGGTTCACCCATGTGATGAGGTTAAAACAGGCGGCACTCAGAGCTGCCAGACGACTATGGGCTGACTACATACTGGTGAGACAGTAACAGAGCATAAAGAGCAAGAATTAAATGGACATTTGGACCCAAAAATACAAAAACAAAAACATATTTTTCCTCTTACCTGTAGTGCCATTTATCAGTCTAGATTGTTTTAGTGTGAGTTGCTGAGTGTTGGAGATATCTTGTTGTGCAGGGGAGTTATCCACAATCAAATTATCTGGTGCATCAAATCACCACTGTCATACTCCCTCTTCTCCCCTCAGTTTGTGGACAGTGACAACTTGCTGACAAACCCTCAGGTGCTTTCTGACATGATAGCAGAGAATCTGACAATTGTGGCTCCAATGCTGGAATCAAAGAGCCTTTATTCCAACTTCTGGTGTGGCGTGACTCCTCAGGTAAGAGACCAGAACAGAATATATATTTCCTGTGTGGAATATTGACTGAAAACTGCAGGAAACTGATTGTCCAGGGTCTTCTTACACGCACAGGGCTACTACAGGCGAACCCCAGAGTATGTTCCCATCCGTAAATGGAAGTGGCTGGGCTGCTTTGCTGTCCCCATGGTGCACTCCACCTTCCTGCTGGACCTGAGGCGCAGAGCCAGCCAAGCATTGGCGTTCCACCCTCCTCACCCCCAGTACCCCTACAATGTTGATGACATCATGGCCTTCGCTTTCTCTTCACAGCAAGCAGGTCAGCAGGTCTTTGTCAATATGTGCTTTTCAATTAAAGTTGCACCTCATGAGATTATGTTACTGTGATTTTGCTGATTATCATTTGGTGGTTGTCATCAGTGGCACACTGTGATGTGTGTTTTTTTACCTGGTAGGAAGATTATTTTCCCCATTTTTCCCTTTTTTAAAATGCATCACAACGATGGAATAGTGGCATATATTATTGTGTTTTAATATGAGGGGCAAAACATGATCTACCATTTATTTACCCCTAAAAAATATTTTAAATAACTACTTCTAATGCCTGTTTATATACATTAGTATACACTAATGATAATGCTCATGTGCAGTAATTCATGTTAAAATTTAACTCTACTACATTTTGGAAGATGCTTGTCTTTTAATGTGTAACAATAGTTAAAGGGTAACTTTGGTGTTTTTCAACCTGGACCCTATTTTCCCATGTTTTTGTGACTAATGGGAACAATTTCTGAAGCAGGGATGTAATCACCCACCACTGTAGTTGGACCGCCAATTTACATCCACATAAAGTGCTTGTTTTGGTCACTGACAGGCTCAGATTGTTATTATAATTGTCTGACAACATTACAGAAAGGATCCCTACAGAGATAGACCTTTTTTTAAAGAGTAAGATCCATTTTGTTTAACCAGAAACAGCCAAGAAATCACTATCGCCAAACCCACCAGACTCCATTTAAATAAACAGTCATTTTATCATTGTAAAACACACTTCATTCAAAGTCAATATAAACAAAATAAACCACACAAAAACTGTCTCACTTCATCTTTCCACTGTCCCAACAATCACCAACTCTGGTTTGGTTGAAATAAACCCTGAATTCACCCAGTTAAATGTGAAAATATGAAAATATGTTGGCTCTATACATGCTACAATTACTGTTTATTTAAAATGGAGTCTGGTGGGTTTGGTGACAGCGATTTAAACAAGAAGGATCTTACTCTTTTACAAAAGTCTGTCTCTGAAGGGATCCTTTTCATAATGTTGTCAGACACTGATAATACCAATCTGAGCCTGTCAGTGGTAAAAACATGCACTTTGGTGGGCGTAAATTGACAGAGCGAAATTCCATGCGTGGTAACTTTGCACCGTGTTTCGCTGCTGGATGCACGCTCTCACTCAATACTGGACTGGTTTGAAAAAAAAAAAGTTAGATGCACAATCATGGGCAAAAAGGAGTCCTAGTTGAAAATAAAACACTGTTTTAAATTACTCTTTAAATCTTGATTAGAATGAAGCAATAGGTACTGTACTATGTGCTTAACATCTCTATAAAACATGGACATATGAACTTTATTATCACCCTCCTTAATAATATCATAATCATATGACTTTGTAACTGCATCAATGTCTTGTCGAACCATACACTATGCTAACCATTGGAGGTGAAATGCATCTAATATTGCGTGTCTAATAAAGAAAAGATGCACTGCGACCTGATCTGTCTGCTCTGCTGCAGGGGTTCAGATGTACGTGTGCAATAAGGACCATTATGGATACTTACCAGTGCCTCTTAAACAAGACCAGACACTGGAGGAAGAAGAGGAGAGTTTCACCCACACACTGACGGAGGCTCTCAGTAGGCACTTCCTCTAATCGTGCTGAAATGTTGTTGACACTGATAATTGACAATTCTGGACAACGGGGGTAATTTTCAGGCCCTCGATCTCCAGTCTTTGCTGTCTCCCTGCGTCTGTGTGAGCATATTTGGGCCTTTTTGCTCTCACAGCCCTGACACATGTCTCACTCCTCTGCTAAGGCCCTCTGCCTCTCACTTCCTCTTCTCCCCCTCTCATCTGACTCTTTCACATCAGTTAGATGTTCAACTGATCTAAGAAGTTCTCCTGAAACCAAAACGACTGTGCAGGAAAAGGCAAATTTACTATACTTCATGTGAAATGTGAATGTGTAACTTTACTTTCCAGTTGCCTACACCATGGAGCCTTCACAGTATGTGCACACTTTGCCTAAAGAACCAGGAAAGATGGGATTTAATGAGGTACAGATTCACTAAAGAGATATTTCTCCAGTTATGGAGTGCTGTTTAAGTGAACAGTCATTTTATTCTCCACTTATAGATCTATCTGATCAATCTGAAGCGCCGCTCAGACCGGCGGGACAGGATGTTGAGTTCTTTGGCTGTCCTCGGCATCGACGCCACACTGACAGAAGCTGTGGATGGCAAGTATGATATACAGTAACACCTCTCATCATGAAGTGGTGGAAGTAGCATTCAGATACTTAAGGAGTCAAAGTCAGTCAAATGTTTACCAGCATTAAAGGGACAGTTCACCTTAAAATCAAAAATGCATACTTTCCCTCTTACCTGTAGTGCTATTTATCAGTCCAGATTGTTTTAGTGTGAGTTGCCAAGTGTTGGAGATATCAGCTGTAGAGACGTCTGCCTTCTCTCCAATATAATGGAACTAGATAGCACTCAGCCTGTGGTGCTCAAAGAGCCAAGAAAATACATTTAACAAGCATTCAAAATGTCTCCTTGCAGACATCATGACCCAGTTACTCAAGATAATCCACAGACCTTGTTGTGAGCAGTTTCACGTAGGAGCTATTTTCTCTCTGTAATGTTAGCTAGCTCAGTGGTGCTAGTTGAGGTAGTAGCTGATACACGCCTCCTTCTGCGTGGTGATTCGGTTGGCAGGTGTAGTTCAGTGGACAGAAAGTAGTTCCCACATTAAACTGCTCACAACATGATCTGACTTACTTGCTTGACCACGTTAAATGGTCCTCATCAGCATATTATGAATGGGCCAGCTTTTATTTCAACACAGATAAGAAGTGCTAGAGTTGCTTATATTTCCGTGGCAACTAAGCAAACTAAGTCTGCTGATGAGGACCATGTGATGTGGTTGAAAGCTGTAGGACAAGTAAGTGGACATTGGTTTTGTCAACTGCTGTTTTCAAGGTCAGGAATAAACTGGCAAGATCTGATTTGTTACTTCATATAATGTTGGGTTGTTTTTTTCATAACAGTGCATCACATTTTATACGTTCATCTTCTGTGTCGTCTTTTTCTTTTTTTTTTGGCTTTTCCAGAAACACAGTTGAATAGGTTTCATTTCAACATCGGAAAAGACACATATGAAACAGGAGGGGTTTGGAGGTCATATGCCAGAAAATTATTAGTGTTAAACACTTGATTTCCTGCATTCTGGTAAATGTTAATGCATTAATTTGTGCATTTTCTGCATCAATTTATGGTGTAAAAAGCACATGCTCTAAATACTGAGGGGGACCTGTCCCCTTTGTCCCCCCTGAAATCTGCATCTATGGAGAAACACCACATACATACGAAAGAGAAAAAAACAACAGCTCTGGATCACCCTGTCTCACAAAACCTACTCATTTTTGTGACATATTCAACATCACTCCTGTTGAGCTCTTATCCTGTGAGTTAACTGTTCCATATCATACACATCATTCATAATTTTCAGACATCCTTTTTGTGTTGGTGGTTCTGCCTTGTGACATCTCTTTGTAGAGGCCTTTTTACAAGCTAAGAACAAGACTGCCAGCCGATACGTGCCCTCTCTGAGACACAATATCTCCTGCCAAAGTACGGTGTTTTGCGTGACCTAGGTATATCATAGAATACCATATGAACACTTCTCTACAACTGTACAATTTCAGGACAAAAAAATATGTGAATGGTCTAGTTTAATGGCCCCACATATTTGCTTTTAATTTGGTGTGTAATAAAGAGTAATATTTACACCTGCTTTTGATTAAACAGTTTAAATTGGTGTATTTAGAATTACCGCTGTAGAAACTGACAGTGGGAATGAGGCTTCACTAGAAAATATTATATACTCAGAAAATATTAAATGTCTTATAGCTGACTTTGACTATGAGGAAATGTGTTTCCATGTGTTGTCCACAGAGCCTTGAACTCCTCTCAGCTGCTGGCCATGGGTATAGACATGCTGCCTGGGTACAAAGACCCATACTCAGGCCGTGTGCTGACTAGAGGGGAGATCGGCTGCTTCCTCAGCCACTACAACATCTGGAAACAGGTGCAGCTTTGCTCCCTGACTGTTTCAAACATAACTTATCTAAGTTCAGTGAAGCTGATGTGGCAGTAGGTTTAAATGTACACAGTCTATGGGTGTGACAGCATAAACAGATTTGAGATGTTGTGTGTCTCCCTCTAGGTGGTGGAGCAGGAACTGCAGCAGGTGCTCGTGCTGGAGGATGATGTGAGATTTGAGCCGAGGTTTAGCAGCAGACTGGTGGCTGTCATGGAAAATGTACAGCGAGTGGGGCTTGAATGGGACCTCATGTTAGTGTTTTAAAAGAATAGTCTGGGTTTTGCAGTGGGACTGTTTGAGGTATCTATCCATAGACAGTGTATTACATACAGTAGATGTCTGTCAGTGCCAGCCTGCTTCTCCAAAATGGGGGTGTGTCGACAGACATCTACTGCATGTAATACACTGACTTTGGATAAGTACCTCATATGACCCCACTTCAAAAGATCCTTACTATCCCTTTAATGCTTTTCATCATACTCAAATTATGCTTCTTAATGTCTGAGGTGCCTGTCAGTCACTTTTCTGTCCTCTTAAAGTTACGTAGGCCGTAAGCGGCTGCAGGTGAAGGAGCCAGAGCACTGGGTGAAGGGAGTCAGCAACCTCGTGTACCCAGACTACTCCTACTGGACCTTGGGTTACGTCCTCTCACTGAGCGGAGCCCGGAAACTCCTGCAGGCAAAACCTCTGAACAAAATGCTGCCTGTTGATGAGTTCCTACCCATCATGTTCAACAAGCACCCCAAGTGAGTCTCATCCACTGTGTGCATATACAAATGTTTGGCGTTGAAGTGTAGTAAGAGTCTTCTCCTGCCCCTTCAGAGATGAGTACATGCAGCATTTCGAGCAGAGGGACCTGAGAGCGTTTTCAGTGGAGCCTCTGCTGCTCTTCCCCACACACTACACCGGCGAGCCCGGCTACTTCAGCGACACAGAGACCTCCACCATCTGGGACGACGAGGCCGTGGAAACAGACTGGGACAGAGAGGGGGCCAAACAGCGGCGTGACACTGAGGAAGTAGGGTTTGGACCTGAGGCTCCTCGCTCTGCTCGTGGTGGCGTGCCTCCTCTCTCTGCCAGTGCAAACAGAGATGAACTCTGAGGCCATGTCATGTCATGTTACACACTATGGCCAGCTGAATATCCTCAGGGGGGGCCGTGGGGCACCAATTAGCAACTGGGCCCCTATTCAACTTTATTCCTCCCCCTTTCTGTGCAGTGTGAAGAGTTTTTCTAAGATGGAGGACATTATCTGTGTTCTGTGTTCTTTGGAAGAAAGCTAATAGTAAGGAATAAAAACTTGTTGATACAGGGTTTCAGTGGTACAGTTTTTCAAACAAATTTTCAATTTAATTAGCAAAAGCCAGTTAAGCCTCTTATGTTTGGAGCTTTCGGGGGCCCACAAGCTGTGCACCCCCAGTGCAGTTGCTATAGTGGTAATTCAGCCCTCTGTACATCAAGCAGCCCGGTCACCAGAATATAATGTCGGCACTGCAAACCCCGGGTTATGTATATTTACACGTTTTATACCTACAGTATGAAGTACTTTTGATTACATGTCTATGAGCTGAGTTTCTCATCAAGGGGAGGAAGGGATGGTGGATGGTGTGACACACAAGCAGCAAAACAGACCACTGTTCAAGACCAGCAAAAGCAGGTGCTTTTTAATGACCGTTCAGTACATTTCCAGCCGTGTTTGTAGCAACCAAAGTGGTTATTTTGAGCTAAAACATGACCTTTTCCTAAACGTTATCAAGTGGTGTGTGTGCCGAACACACGTTAACCACAGTTGTTGTCACAACATAAAGCTGGAAATCGAAATGTAAAGTTTCAACAGATCTACTACATATGAAATGTAGAAATGTAACATATCAGTGGTTTGCGGAAATGTACAGTGCCAACATTTATTCTGATGACTAGGTTACACCAAAACCACCTGCCGAGACCAAGACTGGCAAATAACAGTGATGTGTTTTTCAAAAGCAAAATGTCTTCTGGAGCCTATCCCAGCTGACACTGGGCGTGAGGCAGGGTACACCCTGGACAGGTCACCAGACTATCACAGGGCTGACACATAGACAGACAACCATTCACACTCACATTCACACCTACGGACAATTTAGAGTCACCAATTAACTTGCGTGTTTTTGGACTGTGGGAGGAAGCTGGAGTACCTAGAGAAAACCCATGCTGACACAGGGAGAACATGCAAACTCCACACAGAGGGGCTCCCCCATGCCAGGTTCGAACCAGGAACTATCTTGCTGTGAGCTGACGATGCTGACCAATTGAGATTCAGCAACAGCATTTTGTACACATCAAATAAACTCATTTCTGTTCATGTTATTATGGCTAACATTTTTTTAATTGTTATTTTTGTCTGTATGTGCTTATGGTGCAGATAAAAAACACAAGATGAACACAGGTGTTGACTTGAGGATTTTTATTCTTAAAAAAAGCACTGGTATTTTCATATCAAGCAAACAATGGAACCATTTAATATTAGTACTGTTCCATGTCACAAAATGAGTTATGAAAGAATAATTAAACCACACAAATGATACATTTTTTGGAATAAATTAATCAGCATAACAAAAGAAATAAAACATGCTTGTACTTAGGTGTTGCACAGGAAATATTGAAACTCCAATGCTCAAAATTTTTAAGACACCTGAGAATATAAATATCAAAACAGCTTGTTGCAGCAATTATTTAGTTCCACAGTTCCTCCTATTTACCTTAACTAAAGCTTTGATAAGAGGATTTTTAAAAAATTACATTAATGTAAAAATTAGGCATCAATTTAAAAAACATCCGTTTCTGTACAATGTGCATATCTGAATTAGTGTGGTGACAAGAGAATTATTTTTCTTCTCAGTGAGGCAGCGAAAAAATTAAATCCAAAGTGGATAATGCTTTCTGCCATCAAGCCACATTCAGTGATATGAACAAATAGATTTGGACTGAGCTCTTTCAATTGAAATCTGCAGTGAAGTGACAGTCTACAGGTATTTTTTTTACATTTTAAAACCCCTTAAAAGCCCCCCCCCCCCGAGTCAGCTGCGAGTCTTTCCCTTGATAACTAAAACTCCTGTCCATTAACAACAGAAGTTCACTGAGGCAGGGAAAAGGAAATTCTGCTGCTACACAGGTAGTAGTGATGTTGCATATACAGACAAGATAAGGACAAGGGTACATAGCAGACCATCTAGCTGATAAAGACTAACTTTTGAAATCCAAGGCTCAATGGCTTTATAGGACTTTCTGAACAACAGGTTGGATGGATTTTGTAAAGACACAGAAAAAAAAGTGAGGTATGTTCGTATTGTGATTTTATAGCTTTGAGACCCGGACAGAGTCTGTGTGAGACGACTCCCCCATCTGTGAGAGGAGACGGAGGGAAATCTTCCCATTTCAAGACGTAAAAAACAGGTATATTGTGTGTTTGTTATACAGTCCATGTGTTCATGGCTACTGCCAGCAGCAACCACGAACTGTCAACAGATTGAACCTCTGAAGAAGAAGAAATGTGTACAAAATTCCAAAGCATTGCAATCACTCAATTGAGTACAGCTCCCATTAAAAATGAGATCAACAGTGAATGGTTTGACATGTGAATGAGGAAGACATCTGAAGTCTTAGCGTGGAGGAGACAAAGTCGACCGATCTGGAAACACAAATGAAGCGTGTTCCTTTTAGAAAATAAAAAATCCACAACAAGAGATGGCCTGGATGACTACGCAAACACTAAAAAAAAGAGAACAAAAACAAACCAAAAAAAAACCTACCAACTTCTTGTATCACGCTTTCTAAAGCACTTGGACAAAAAGGCAGTTTTACAAACCATTGGTTATCAACACATCAGCAAAGTTCCACAGTGCTTGCTTGTAGAAGCATAGTGACAGTGCAAGCCATTACACTATTCAGCCAAATACACCTGTAAGAAAAAAGTGCCATATTGCATAATGAGTATCTGTTATGAGCCCACAGGGGGGCATATACACCTATACAATGATCCAACTGTAAACATGGTGCAAAGTAGTTATGACATAGTTTAAGGCTTTAAGTGTTGTTCACTGAGATAAAGGAATATGTCCATGAGCTGGACAAACAGTGTGGAAACATTAAAAAAAATCAACCTCTCTATAATCAGACCTGGACACTGTATGTACTTGATAGATTTTAAATATCTTAATTATTTGAGGTTTGCTCCTGAATATTAATTTTTCCTGAAATACATGAGGATTGTTGACTTTGTTTTTGGCATATAGGAATATTCAGGTGCCAGTTTTCTTGAATGTACTAAACATGTTTTTAAAGGGTAAACCTGGATCTTATTTTCACATTTTTGTGTTTAAGTGACTAATGGGAACAACAAAAATTCTGGTCCAGTGTTGAGCAACAGGGCTTACGCAGACAGCCCGCAAACAGGGCATCTGTGCACCATTTTGAGTGCTTGTTTTTGCCACTGACAGGCTCAGATTAGTATTTTACATGTCTAACAACATTATAGAAAGGATCCCTACAAAGACAGATCTTTATGTTAAGGAGAAAGATCCTTTTTGTTTAACCAGAAACAGGCCCAAAATTGCTACTGCCAAACCCACCAGACTCCACTTAAATAAACAGTAATTTTAGCCTGTACAGAGCCAGCATATTGTCACATCTGACTGGCTGTTTAACATGTTTATTTCAACCAAACCAGAGTTGACAATTGTTGGAAGAGTGGAAAGACACACCAAGAGGGCTTTTGTGGGTTTTAATTTGTTTCTGTTAACTTTCAATAAGGCATGTTTAACCATGACAAAATTATTGTTAATTTAAACGGAGTCTGTTGGGTTTTGTAATGCCGATTTCAGGGTAATTTATGTTTAAACAAATGTTTTATTTCTGTAGGGATCCTTTGCATAATGTTGTCAGACTCCTCTAATAATCTCTCAGTGGCAAAAATAACCACTTTTAATGGGTGTAAATTGACAACGCATAATTTCCCACGGTGGTGACACTGTAGCCCGTTGTGTGGCTGCCGTCTGCAGCGCTCTTGCTCAGTACTGGACAAGTTGTTTATCCTATTATTCACTTAGACAAAAAAAAAAAAAAGGGAAAACAGGGTCTAGCCCAAAAAGTACGTAAGTTACCCTTTAACAAATCCCCATTTGTTTTTCCAACATTGTAATGTTTCTTTATCACAGAGGACAGTTTGACTTGTAAGACACAGGTGTAACTAATACCATTATTAATGGCGGCATCCCATTTACAAGTGCCTGCTGGTTCATGACTATTGTACATAACATAAAGCCATTATTAACTTTATCAGTTGCACTTGTGCTTTTATGCTTTGATAAGTCAAACTCACTCTAAAGATCTACTGGTATTAGCTTTCCTCAATGGGAGCAGATTAGCACAAGTTTTAGACCAATTTTGATTCCCACACTAAAAGTTATAACAGGTTATTTTTTGTAACTCTACATGTAAGACTCAAACCGTGTACAGAAACACCTGGCACTCCTGATCCTGAAATGCCTTCTGCCGTCTGGCTCCACACCCGATGAATGGGGTGATGGCTTTAACTTCGAAGGCAGCCAGCTAAAAGTCAAGCTCGACTCATGTCATTTTTGTTTCCCCAAAACATTTTGATATCATCGCATACACACTTTTTCCCCAGTTCTGTCGCTAACAAAAAATGTAAATAAAAACACATACACACCGACACTCACAAGCAATGCCATCCTATCAAGAGTATACCGTTACCCCTAATATAAGGACTACAATTCATCACATGTATTAATTCAGCTGCTAGTAGCATTACCATTAATCTACATTAAAAGCTTAAAGCTTATATACATTTGCATCAGTATTAGACATAATACTGTGTATTATGTATCAGCATTTCATGTGTGATAACTGATCTAGACTTAAGGATGGCGTGCAATCAGCTTTTCTACAGTGAAGTTTGATCCACTTTCTGGCAAAATCAATACTCGATCTATAGTTAAACTGAATATATAGAAATCATTACAAAGTTGCCTCAACGATGGTTACTGATGCAATAAAAATTAAGGAATGTGTCACCACTAAAATAAACTTTTATATGGAATCAGCAAAGCTAAAAAAAAGAAAAGCTAAAAGGCTTCTAGTCGGCGCCTCGCTACCTAACATCACAAGTTTATGCTACTCATGGGAAATAAACGAGGAGCACAACAACAGTCTACAAATGAACCACTAGAAAACAGAGGAGTTTTGGCTGATGATGAATGTGCAGACTTTTACAGAAAAATGTGAAAAATCCCTGCAATTTGTGGAAGTGTTTGAGAAACTGAGGTTATTTTTTAGGGTTGGGTTTATTTCATCGACTCAAATCTGCTTAATGATTCCCATTCTCATCGAATCCTGAGAAAGAAAAGAAAACAAAGTATGTTCAACATAAAAAACACCACACATTTATTTCCAAAAGGTTTAGGCTGCCATAAACATGTAATAAATGAGGATGTGTTTTGTGATTTTTGGTTAAAAAAGGAAAATATATATAAACATTCTCTGTTGTGCCACAGAAAAGCTGAATGTTTTACATTTGATTTTGCTTTTTGAGGCATTAAAGCCTTGTATTAATGTTGTGTTGTAAATCGATGAGCAGGACTGCTTCGTGGCATAATTGGTTTTACAGACTTTTTGCATCAATGTGATGAAGTACCTTGATTTGCCCTGAAATTAATCGAGTGTTTTTACCAAAAACAGACGTTCCTATCTGGTTATTTGATCTATAAAAATGTTTAAATTCATTTCACTATGATACAGATTTTATAAAAATGCTGCCTTCTCCTTCTTTCTGTAGTAAATGTGTTGTTGTATTAGACTTTCTTTCCTTGCATATATTTATTTTCATGCAGTGATTACATTTCACCGCATCATTACGGTCTTTCGTGAAGCGCAGCCACTTTTGAAAACAGGCCCCACTCTGTCTTATTGTAAACATTATACACGTGCTTTGATACATGTGTAATCTGCGATGTAAATGAAGTAGGTCCAAAGTTTGCTTTCAGGAAACGATAAGTGGAATCGAAAAAGCACATTTCTTAACGAATCCTCACTTCTTTAAGATTTGGAGCGTTCTCAATACCCAACCCTAGTTCTATTGAGCAGGTGGATAGTGGTCACATGACTCATCTGTGCAGATGGAGGGATGAAGCCGCTTTCCCCCCTCACATCCAGCTTTGTGTGTGTTGTGTGTATTATGTGCACATTTGTTGAGTACAACACAGCAATGCTAAATCCTAAATCAGTGGATCTGATTGTAGCTGGTTAACTTGAAACCACCGTGACCTTCTGTGCTCCTGTTAGGAAACCCCCCCCCACCCAAACCAAGACCATCCTAATGGTGCATGGCCGGGCTGGGAGACAAGGAGGAGGAGGCGCCCTTGGTGCGGCTCAACATCGAGGGCTGGAAGTCAGGGTGGCGTCGGGCGTGCTTGATCAGGTGGTCGCTACGCATGAAGCGCTTATCGCACAGTGGGCACAGGAAGCGTTTTTCACCGGTGTGGGTGCGGGTGTGGCGGGCGAGCTCATCGGAGCGGGCAAACTTCTTCTCACAGTCCGGCCAGGTGCATGGGAAGGGCCTCTCACCTGTTGGCAGAGAAGAGAGGGGAGAACATTTACCACCATATTATTTATCATACCTTTCAGTTTGCCCCACAAACACCCGAGTTTTCTGATGACTAAAATATATTAATAACTTAACTTAAACACTAAGGAAAAGGATAATTTATTTCCATTCTATACCACAAACCAGTGAGGATATGCAATTATTTTCATTATCGATTAATCTTGATCTTTAAAAATCCTCACAATTGAAACTAAAATTAGAAAATGTTTGTTAGATTTTAGCTTACTTTTCTGTCAAATGACAAATCAATTAATCCACAAATCATTTAGACTCCAATATGTGCAATTTATGCATGTGTATCCGCTCTGCAGGCCTTTAATAATTCATCTAGCATGCCTTTAATAATTTAATTTTTGCAAGTATTTCATAGTCTGTGCATTTTGTTTTAATGTTTCTTAAAGATAAAATAATCATATGCTTTCAAATTAAATCAGAATAAGTTTGCTTATATTTTTGGTCACTGCACATTTATGTTAATTAATAAAATACAGGTAGGAAATATGTGACTATCCCTACGACGTCATTAAATTATACCTGAGCACATTAAATACCGAGATAGTGACGCATTATGAAATATAGGCAAAAAATATTAATCTCTCCGTAAATTAAATGCGTGACAAAACACATTTAGGCTTTAGATTCTCCAGATTAGTCTTCCTAAGCTACTACTAGCCTTAATCTCTTGCAGGCAACATGAGCAAAACCAGGATAAGCGAGTAGGATGCACGGTGCCATTTTCAAGATCACAAAGCCAGGCCACGTTGTTGTTGCAGAACTCTTTATGGGCGTTCCCACCACAGTTTCTTTGAGCCGTTTCCTGCCCATAATCCGTTTGCGCCTGCTCAGTGACCCTGAACGCACCGATTCCCCTCATTTTGTGAAAAATCCCATGCACGATTTGACTCAGTAGCAAGAGCTGTGTTTGCATATTGATGGGCGGGTCCATGTCCAACCATCTGGCTTGAAACATCGTGAGGTATAAAACGGATTGTGCAGTGAGGTGCAGCTACATATCAGTTATTTTCCTCTGCAGACATCCAAAAATAAATGAAAATGTGTTCATTTAGACAGAAGGGGTGGCGCCATCCATTATCGGACGCGCCTCCTGCAGCTCTTCCCCAAACGTATTTTATCAATAATTTACACAATGCAGGGAATAAAATCGATTTTAACTCGTCAGCAGACGCCAGGGAGAGGAGGTGGTGCCCCAAAGAAAAACTCCAACAGCCAAATCATCCAGCACTTGCTGCTGCCATCAACAGGGCAGACTATGCCCGACAATAAACTCCCAGCCCTCGACGTTAAGGTTTCGTCTTACGTTCATTTCATATGCAAATCCAGTCGGGAGGAAGACCTTCGTCACCGGTTTTAACGTCCAGCCCAGTTCTTTTGTTAGTTTACCTCTTTGTCAGAGTCACTGGAGGGGAGTTTTTCTGTCTTTGCCTCTTTGTTTGGCCACCTTATTGTACCAAGTCAGGGTTGTATGGGAAACATTTGGCACCACCACGCTGTTGGTCAATCCCATAAAGAATAAAAGAGCGCAACACTTCCCATATTTTCTGATTACAGTGATAATAACAAAATGGGCGTCATCGACAGAGCAGAAGTTGGAGACAAAGTTTACACTAAGGTTAGCTGTGCACATGTGACCCAAGCTGTTGTTGTCTCCCTACCTGTGTGTGTCCGGATGTGTGCCTTCAGGTGGGACGATTTCCCGTAAACTCTGTCGCATCCGTCAAAAGTGCACTGATGTCGCTTCACCGGGGACCGCGGGGCCCCCACGCCTCCTCCACCTCCACCCCCCCTCAGCTGCTGCTGCCCGGGGACAGGGGTGGCGGAGGGGGTCATGGTAGGGGTGGTGGGGTCGGACAACGTGGTGTAACCGCTTTCCCCACCACATGAGGAGTTGCTGCTCTCCGAGTAGGCCGACATGGGGCGGAACTTGCCGTGCAGGTCGGTGAGGATACCGGCCACCGCCATCATGTTGGCCCCCTCCAGCCTCAGCGTCTCCCGCACTTCCCTGTCCTCGCTCGACACGTCGGGCTCCCCGGGGAGCAGGCCCACCACGGCCGGCTGGCTGGCGGGGGCGACTGGGGTGGGTCTGTGTAGGACAGGACCGCTGGATATCGACACCAGACACTCGGCAGCGAAATAATCAGACGAAGCAGTCAACGACATTGTTATCTGCCTCGGTTTGTTGGCTTTATCTAGAAAAAACAACGGAAACAGAATCCACCAGGAGGGGCTAACGGTAGTCTGAGCCTGACCTCGTTTTCATCAAATTCGACGAATCAACCGTTTCCAGCTGAGCCTTGTTACCGCCATACAGTGTTTCAGCAGTCTGGAGATTACTAAATAAATCCAAGAAAAGGCACAATTAAGAAGAATAATGTGCTAAACCGTGCCTATGCCTCCGGCCCAACATGCGTACCCCGCACCGTCTGACGGTTCATTGTGTCTGAGCTTCACAAGCCGGTCAAACCTACGCCCCCTGGTCCGGACTAAAGATGCGTTCAGAGCCTGTCGGTTAAAAACTATAGGGAGGCGTTACTGTCTGAATTTCTAAAAGCCACACTAGTACTTAGCTTCCTTAACTTTTGTTTAGTATGCTTTTTTTTAATGTTCCTAGCTATTTGGGCTCAGTAGGACCCGATAAAACTAAACATCGTGAACGATAATAAAGTTCCAATACCCTCAAACGAGATGATAATAAAGTCCCAATGTCTTCAAATGAGTACTTCCTAATTCACAGTCTTAGCTTGATACTGTTGGTCAAATTTGTTGCCAAATGAAACTACAAACGTTATTAAGTATAAATAAACAAGTTTCAACCATAAAATGTGATCAGGTTTTGGACCTTGTCCACTTTTGTGTCAGGGTTGGCTGCAGGCTGACTTGACAGAGATGGCTGCCATCTTGTTTTTACATGGATTATTGTGTTGTGCTCTCACTACCAATAGATGGCACAAAAAGTGTCCATGATTGAAGACAACAGGTCTAAGTTAAGTAGAATGAATTATAAGGTCAAGCAGACCCAAAATGTGATGTCCTCATATGAGGACATTAGGAATTTATTATCACTGATAATGTTTTGTCCTTTCAATCCCAAGTAGCTAGGAGAAATTAAAAACACGTACCAAACAAAAGTTCAGGTCTCAGGAGGATATAGCACCTTTCACTGAAATGAAATTCACAAAGTGCTTCACAAAATACAATCAAACAATCAAACAATAAAACATGCAATCAATAACAACAAAGGCAATTCAACAAATAAAACAAAGCAACAAAAGACACAAATCAGTGCAGCCCCTTTGGAGTGATGTGCAATGCAGGCTGCAGACCAGAGAGGCTGAGTTGTCACCCTTGACAGTGAAGACAGTAGGGTTGCAGTGATATACCTGTTTTAATGTATATACCAATATCATCCTGAGACCCTGTGTCTTCATATGAGGACATTGCAGTTTTGATTTGCCATGTAGTGGTAATAAGAGACCACAATTAGGATGTTCTCATTTGAGGACATTGAGACTTTATTATCATAGACAATGCTTGGTTTTTTATTCTTATCAGATCCTACGAGGAGGAATTAAAAATGCATACCAAACAAACGTTTGTGTCACAGGAGGATATAAAAGTTGGTGGTTATCATACTGTGTACATTTGTTTAACTAAGATATTGTAAAACAAACAAACAAACAAACAAACAAACAAAAAAAAAAAAACATGCAGCTGGACAGAGAATCTCCCCTTTATTTTAATTATTTTTTAAGGGGAGACTTTTTACACATACTTCCATCAACAAAATGGTTTCAAGTTTTAATTATAGTAATAAAACGTTTTTTCAACCAAGAATAATCCTTCCAATATGATTCCTTTAAGGGTCAATCTGACTGGTAATAGTATGAATTCTGTAATACTGTGAAACCACAACATTTTCTGAGACAGTTGTTGTACCATGAAGATCTCATGCCGTTGCAACCCTAAAAGACAGTCAGATTTGGTGTTCGTGTAGAAACAAGGATGCAGACTTTGTTCTCAATATTGTCTTGTTACCATGGAAGTTTTCATACACAAATGTAGATATTTTAAGACCAAATCTAGTTTGATTCATTGGAAGAATGAGTTAAAACTCTTGAGTAAGTCACTGAAACTTGTCAAAGTTGTTTTTATTACTAGATATGTTTAAATTAATTTAAGAAAGCCCTGTTTTTAATTGATATATTTATTTGTTTTGCTTTTATTTCTGTTCTTTTTCTGTCATTTTGTATGTGGCTTTATATTTCTTTGCTCAACCTGAGACAGAAGCTACCTAATGAATAAGGCTTGAAAAAGTGCCTGGCTTGTTTGTATCAATAAAGTCAAATAAAGGATTTACACATAAAAAAAAACTTTATTTTGCCTTTACAATTACCCCAATATTGATTTGATGAGTGTTACGTTTAACACATTGTTGTACAGAAAATCACAAATTTTAATATCATAGAAAAGTGAACATCTAGCATCTAACTGGGTTCTTCAAGTGTTTTTTTTATTTTATAAAACCACTGAATCAAAAGTGTAACTGTTTCATATTTTAGTACACTAAAGTATAATTGGCATAACTAATGTGACAAACTACACAACTGCCTTAGAAGTTGGGGTTAAACCGGGTTGACGGTATTCTCGGAGGAAGCTCCTGAATACAATTTTTTCTGTGTCTTCGAACGCAGCGTCACCCAGCAGCACGCAGTGACTGACGTCGCAGCACGGGCGTGGACCGAAGCGGCGGGTGCATCGTGGAAAGTAGGTGGCAGGCAGGCAGCTTGGGTAATGATGGGGGGAAGGAGGAGATGTGGATGAAAGGCGCGATGGGTAATTTAGTTGTAGCTCAGTCAGAGGCTGGAGAACGTGGCTGAACGGTGCAGGGCTTTTTATTTCACATTTCCGCCAAATATACTTAAATCCGGAGCCATGAAAGCACCACAAACATCTACTTTGTCAACAGTTTCTGTCCATAAGACACTAGATGTCTCTCTTCTCTTGTGCTTCCCTCTCTGAACTGTGGTTGTTTGTTCTGTTGAAGTTCATGAATCAGCTTTTAATAGGTTAAAGCACACACTGGTTGTGTGGCTTATTGATTATGGCCATATTGGCAGTGTGTGTAAGTGTGTAGGAGGGTGTGTAATCTCCAAGCAAATCTTATTTATTGTTGAAGATGATATACAAGCAAAAACACTTGGATAATTACTATTACATGCTTTGTTTTACAGTCCTACTGCACTATATAAGGTTTTCTTATATGTCCCAGACTTTCAAACTGTCCTGCAATAAACAGAGCTCCCCCTCCACATGTAGCTCATGTCTAATGTCTGTCCAAGTGAATGGAGAGGGATGAGAAACCCCAATTTTTTGTGAGGCCCGGTGCCCTGTGAAGTGATTGGCTCAGTGAGTGTTTGTAGCTCCAGTCTGGAAGGTATTTCCTGATTGGTCGTTGTGAGCACCGTGGGTCACTGTGGAAGCCCCTGTACAAGTGTGGTCATTCAGTGGCTGTGAACAGTGCTTGGTTTTCATCTCGCTTACATGTGGAGGTGTGGAGGCAGCCGGACCTGCAGTGGCTTAGGGTTGCTATGGCTGTGTCCTTGTTACCTCTCAATTGTCTGCATGTTGTACTGATTTTTCTCCTGCTATATGGTGAGTTTTATGTCTTTTACTGTGTGCTGTAGTGGTTCTTTAATGTTGCACTGAAAGCAGAGTTGACTGAGAGTCTAGGTGACATGACTTTGAGTGTTCAGTATAGAAGTTTGTCAGGCTTTCTTTGAGAAGGGTTGCACGTTTTTGTCATTATGTGTGAGATTCCTGATCTAATTTTCTGTGCAGTTGGTGATTGCTTTGAGACAGAGCCAAATCTTTGTGATTCAAGTTGCGCCGGTGAGAATCCAGTTTGTTTCATATCATATATGATGCATGCCAGACATTAAATTTGTACTTCAAGATTTCTTTTCATTGAATCTTCTGATTATTATTTTATGTCTCTAGGGTTTCCCACTCCTGATTTATCCTATCAGAGAGGAGTGAGGTACACTTACAGGTATAGCACAACAATTACCACAACCCTTCATGGCTCCAACGCTGGCAGGAATGGACTGGCTTTAGACTGTGTGGTTGATATCGATGTGGTTTCCAAGTGTCACCTAATGATGCAGGTCAGCTTTAATGAAAGTGTGGAAAAATTAAAATGAAGTACTGCAAAAGAGTCCCGCGGTTACGGAAAATGAATGAAGGAATCAATTAATGCTGCAAAAGTCAATGATGTATGCACATGCTTGTCCAACAGATCAGGAATCCACAGATAAAGCGGCTTTCCCCTCAGAAGGAACACTCTGTGCAGCGTTTTAAGAGCTTAAGGTCTGTAATTTCATGTGTTTTTATTGAGTATAATGATTGAGTCAATGTTAATTTGCATGCATACGTGTGTTTCTGTCTGCATTCAACAGCATAAGTGTAAGTCCAGATCATTTTTGGAATGCTCCGACTGTTTTTCCTATGAATGTGATACTCTGTTCAGATGCTCCACTTGTCTGTGTTCTCGGGTCTCGGGGGGCTCATCTGGTGTTTTTGTTTCCCAGGGAGTCACTGGAGAGAACGCGCCTCAAGTTCTCCCTCCATGGGGGAAAGGTCATGGCCCTCTGTCTCCAGGAGGGGGAGCAGGTGTGGGCCCTCAACATTAAAAGGGCTCTACTGAGCATGCTCCAGACCTCCCGCATGGCCTCCAAACAGGAATTAGAAAAGGAGGTGAGGGTTAATGAGGGTTATATTCTATGTAATAGAGCGCTGCAGGGATGACGTTTTTTTTTGTAGGTCGACCTGGAAGTTAGTCACCCTCGTTTCCTCGACAAAAAGCCTGCAGGATTTTTCCTTTGGATTTTAAATTACTGCAGAAAATAAGCACGGTTTTGTTCAGTAAGATTGATCCTCACAAATAAACACCACTTTTATTATTTTTGAAGCGTAAATGCAATCGCCAGAAGTAAAAAGCTAATGGTGGGCCTTAAATGAACTACACCACAGTTGCATGACATCAGTGTCACCACCACAACATGTGATGACATTCTGTCATCTCATTTAACCACTTGTCCGTTACTGCCTTTTTTCAGTCATGTAAAAGCTTCAAAATTCACAAATGTGCTATTTACTGATGTGTTTTACGCCAAAGAACAAAGTCTCTTATAAACTTGTGTTAACTTCAGACCTTATTTAACCCACTGACTGCAAGATGAGGGAAGCGGAAGTGCAAAAATGCTATCTTGTTTCCTCGATTCAGGACTCCTTCCTGCAGCACTCTATACATGCCCAATTGCAAAATGTATACACACAGCAATTCCTCAATCTTCATGAGATTTCAACATATATATTATAAAACGTCTTGTAGTCTGACAAATACCTCCTTTACTCCTGCTACAAAC